ATAGTTATCCTATTACTGTGATTAGTATTTCACAGGACAAAAAAAATGAAAATTCTTTATCGAGTAGTCACTGAACCATGAAAATGAGGTCAAGGACAATGGATATATGACAGACAGAAAGGCTTGAATGTTTTTACTATTTTTGCAACTTCAAGGGCCAGATAACTGCTCTCATCATACCTCCTCCTTTCTCATGATTGGGATATTCTTTGTAAAAGTACAAAATTCTATATGGTTGATTTTGGGATATGATAAACAGATTAAGCAAATATGAATCTTAGAAAAGCAAAGGATATTGGGAATCCATCCATGACACAAAATCAGTACATGCACAGCAAAAAACACACAAAAAGCAAAGGAGCAGCGCTTTAATAGCTGTTCTTCATCTCAAAGTCACATTGAAGCTCAAACACTTAACCATTTATCTCTAAAAAATTGTTGCCCTTAAAGATGCTTTTTGACTACTGAAGATTCATTATCATTCGTTGAACACTAAATTTCTGTGGATTTGGTGAGTATACGGGAAATGGAAATTAAAATATTCAAAGACTTAAAGGGTCCAACAATATGTCCCCATTCAAAAGCATAGATCGTCAAAAAAACAAGAGGCTCATGAGAGCCTGATATTGCTCACCTGGCTGTAATTTCAGTTTCAGGCATTTGACTCATTTGTAGATCTTACTTTGCTGAACAATTTTGTCATTTACACTTTCTCTCTTTCTATAATAATATTAAAGATAATACATAACCCAAAACTGTAAAATATCCTAAAAATTAACTATTTCTGGACAGTAACCCAACAATACGTTGTCCTATTGGTCTGAAGATTACTTGACAGGTAGATCTAAACCTGTTTAACACTTTCACCTATGTCAGTTTTGCTCTAATACTGCTTTAGTTTTTGAGATGAAAGCCAAAAACTTCATTTGACCCCTATGTTCTATTTTTAGAAACTGCCACCATGTTTTTGAATGGATCAAATCCCCGAATACAATCTATAAACTACATACCCTAAGGAACATTCAATTAAAGTTTTTAAGTATTTGGCAAAGTAGTTTCAGAGAAGAAGATTTTTGAAAAAGTATTTGGACTTTCACAAAAAATGTAAAAAAAAAAAACATTTTAAGGGCAATAACTCCTCAAGGGGTCAATTGACTATTTTGATCATGTTGACTTATTTGTAGATCTTACTAAGCTGAACATTTATTGCTATTTACACTTTCTCTCTATCTATTGTAATAATAAAGATAACCAAAAACAGTAAAATTTCATAAAAAAATAATATTTCGAACAGTAACCCTACAATGGGTGGTCCAATTGGTCTGAAAATTTCATAGCAAATAGATCTTGACTTATTTATCACTTTAACTCCATGTCACTTTTGCTCGTACTGCTATAGTTTTTGAGATAAAAGCCAAAAACTGCATTTGACCCCTATGTTCTATTTTTAGCCATGGTGGCCATGTTTGTTAATGGATCAAAACTTTGGATACAATTTATAAACCAGTTACCCTAAGGAACATTCAGTTAAAGTTTAGAAGTATGAGGCAAAGTAGTTTCAGAGGAGAATACTTTTTAATGTTAGCAAACATGATGAACAAATTGTGTAAAATTGTCCTTGAAGGGCAATAACTCCTTAAGGGGTCAATTGAAAATTTTGGTCATATTAAACTTTTTTGTAGATCTTACTTTGCTGAACATTTTTGCTGTTTACAGTTTATCTTTATCTTCAATAATATTCAAGATAATAACCAAAAACTGCAAAATTTCCTTAAAATTACCAATATAGTGGCAGCAACCAAACAATGGCTTGTTCGATTCATCTGAAAATTTCAGGGCTGATAGATCTTTACCTATTGAACAGTTATATCCCCATGTCAGATTTGCTCTAAATGCTTTAGTTTTTGAGATATAAGCCAAAAACAGCATTTGACCCCTATGTTCTATTTTTAGCCATGGCGGCCATGTTTGTTGATGGATCAAAACTTTGGTTACAATTTATAAACTAGATACACTAAGGAACATTCAGTTAAAGTTTGAAGGTATTTGGCCCAGTAGTTTCAGAGGAGAAGATTCTTGAAATAGTTTACGACGGACGCCAAGTGATGACATAAGCTCACATGGGGCCCTTTGGGCCCCGGTGAGCTAAAAAGGGGGGGGTTCCAACTCCCAGAACCCCCTTTGGATCCACCACTGTTCTCCTTTAAGAATACTGAACTAATTTCAACCAAACTTGGGGTGTATCATACTTTGGATATCAAAACAAATTTTGTGTTTTTATTCCAGTCAATCTACAAATATATCTGCCATAGCTAAAAATAGATCATATTGATAAATTACATTGTCTAATATCTTGAAAACTGTAATAGATAGAGAAATGCCCAGAAAGTGCTACTTCCTATTTTCCCTAAAATTATCAAATGACTCCTTTGAAGAGTTATTATACCCTTAAGTGAAGATATTTGACTAATTTTTAAGTCTATTATCTCAAGAACTATAATAAGGTAGAAACTGTAAACAGCAAAATAATCAACAATAGAAGATATACAAACATGCCAATATATCTGAAACCATTGGAGGACTATAACTCAAATGTTTAATTTTGACAAATTGTCTTGTTTTTGTCTATTATCTAAAAAATTATAATAGATCATTAGAAACTGTTAACAGCAAACATAATAAGCAATAGATCTACAAAAAGCCAATATGACCAAAATCATTTGAAGAATCTTTTTAGGAGTTATTGCCCTGAAATTAAAATTTGTACTAATTTTTGTGTTTTTGTCCATAATCACAAAACTAAAGTAGATAGGTAGAAACAGTTGTAAACAGCAAAAATGATCAACAATAAAAATTTACAAAAATGCCTATATGACTCCTTAGAGTAATGGCCATTAAATTAGAATTTTGACAAATTTTCTTGTTTTTTGTTAATTATCCTAAAAAGTATAACAGATAGGTAGAAACTGTGATCAGCAAAAATTATCAGGCATACAATATGACCAAAACAAATGGATGACACATTAATGAGCTGTTGTCCTAAAATGATGATTTTTGACTAATTTTTTAGTGTCCCCTTGGTATCTTTTGTTTCTTTTTATTGTGATTTAGCCAATATCTTGACAAGTTTTATAGAAACAGCAAAGGTGATCGGCAATACAAGACTTACATCAAAACTATATAATTGAATGACTCCCTATAAAAGTTATTGACCTTAAATGACAATTTTTTCCTAATTTTTATTATTTTGCCAATATTCTAAAAATCTATAAAAGATACAAAATTATAAAAAATTATAGTTATACAATATATACAAAAATGCCAAAATAACCAAACCATTGGACAACTTCTTACAGAATTATTACCCTTAACTGATGATTTTTATCCAGTTTTTGCATTTAAGGCAACATCTAAAAAAGATAGAGAGAAATTGTAAACAGTATAATTGATCAGCAATACAAATTCAACAAAAAAAGAAATTTTGATAATGAATCATATTCTAGTCTATAATGTTTGAGAGTGGCCATTTTTTTTTTAAAGCATTGCCGAAAGGCAAAAGCAGGTCTAGTAACCACCTGACTATGTCCCTCCGTCTGTCTGCCGACCTTCAGTTAGACCTTTGGTTGGAACTTTGGTCAAAATTTTCTTGTCTTCTATGAAAGGGAATGATTTAATCTTTGGTCCACAGCTTGTTAATGTTGAGATGAAGTGAGTAAGCAATTTAACATCCACAGTGCAGCTACTTCCTGTTTGCAGATCCTATGGATCTTACAACACTCATTGTACAAGGAAAATTTTCGTCAAACTTTTTTTTGCTTCTTTAAAGGGAAATGGTTTAATATTTGATCTGCACCTTGGTAATGTTGAGTTTTAGAAAGTAAGCAATTTTTACATCAGCTGTGCATGCACTTCCTGTTTGCCATTAGTTTGAAATTTCACAACACTCATTGTACAAGGAAAATTTTTATCAAACTTTTCTTTGCTCCTTTGATGGGAATGATTTTGTATTTGGTCTACAGCTTCATAATGTTGAGTTGTAGCCAAAAATTTATTTTAACATCCACCATCCAGCCACTTCCTGTTTGCCAATAGTTTGTGAAATTTTACAGCACTCATTGTACATGGAAAGTTTTTGTCAAACTTTTCTTGGCTTGTACTGAACGGAATAACTCTATTATTTGTTTGCAGCTTGATTATGTTCAGTTGTAAAGAAAATTAAATTTTTACATCTGCCATGCAGCCACTTCCTGTTTGCAGATGTTCGGAAATTTTACAACACTCATTCACAAGGATAATTGACGTCACATTTTTTTGGCTTTAATAAAAGGGAAGGATCATATTTGTTTCAGTATAGATGTTACCTCAATCAATCGATTACAGCAACCCAGATCCAGACCTGGTATTAGTCTTGTTGAATATATACATGATCATACATATAGATCCAGGTGAGGGACATAGGCTCTTTAGAGCCTCTAGTTTAAGTGGCCATTGAACCATGAAAATGAAGCAAAGGACATATGCCACACTAAAACATCCTACCATAAGGCATCTGTATACCATATATATATATTATCCAGCTCTTCTACCTTCTCAAATGTGAAACTGAATATGAAGAGGAAATGCTGCAGTCCACCTGGTTAGCATCCCTGTCTTCCACTATGTGCCATTCATGGCAGGAGAGACAAAATCTATGGAATGGTTATTGATGATAATCAAAGTCAATTTAAGAACTATTTTTACTTATGCTGAGTAAATTCTATTGAATATAATATTATTGGAATATTAAAGGAATGAATGCATTTTTTGAAATAATAAATTAAAGTTTGACATGTCAAATTTGCAATCAAAATCTTATCAACATCTCAGACATCTTCCATGCACTGAAACTTGATCTAAACATCAGTAATATATCAAGTTATTTCATTAAGACAACTAACAGCTTTCATTGTTTTGTCCTGTTTTCAACTACTGATTGAAGGGTTTTGAAAAAAAGAGTAACATAAAAACTGATAATAAATATATTATATACAAAGATCACAGTCATTTATAACATCTAACAATAATTTATGTCTGTTGTGAAGGAGATTTAACAGTTATAGGAGCATTGTCTTCTTCTTTATTTAATTGGTCTTCAGATGCATTAGGTGTTGGTGTGTCCCATCCTGGCATTTTCTTATCCCAAAATTGGCTAACTTTATCCTGTATACCACCAGTTTCCTCCCGCCATTCTCTCTGCCACTGTCGTAATTCCTGAACTTCAGGATCTTTTCGTACCTATAATTTAAAAAAATTAAAGTCTGAACCTGTAGATACAATTCACCAAAAACAAATATCAAAAGATGATACCCCACTGTATGCATGAATATAGTTCTGCAAACTTTAGATTTCAGTTTTGTTGAAGTATAACTTGAAATTGTTTTACCTGAAAGACAAATTTTAGACCCCCACCATAGTTATGACTTAATCCATGATGAAGGACAATTTATTGATGTCTTTTCTTTCAAACTTATTAACTAAAACATTAATAAAACAAACTGTACAAGGTAAGTACAATATCCCAATGACAGCTGTTCTTAGTGAACGTTGGACAGATGAGAAAATACTATTACTGAAAAATTCTACAATGTATTTATCAAATGAAAATACACATCATAAACACATTTTTACACCATTATGTAATGACAAAGGAAAAACTACTAGACCTTTTGTCATGAGGTAAGGGTAAAAAATTATTATATGTAGATTTTACATGAATTTCTCCATTCCCAGTACATAACTGCAAACATCTGCCATCATTTTTTCAATGCGGAATAAAACATAATCTGGATTTATACTAAATATTATACAACTATGATCAACAAAGTACTAAAAACTTGACCAATTTATAAACAAATTTATTTTTCATGAAAAATATTGAATTCCAATACATGTACCAATATTAATAAATCAGAATGAAATACAAACTGCATAAGTAAAATAATCATCATACAACAACATTCCAAATGTTAAACAGATTTTAGTATGACTTTTTTTTAATCTTTATTACTGCTGTTTTGAATATTAAGTATTAACCTCAATCAAAAGATTCTATTAAATATATATCTGTTTTTGGAAGACTTTAGAACTGTGAGTGAACTCACAAAAGCATTATACAAAAGCATGCCCCTACCCCCAATTTCGATTATCTCCCCTTTAACATATTGTTCCAGGATAATACTCCTGTATGCACATTCTACAACTGTGTAAAGCTTCATCATTTTCAATCAAGAATGATAGTAGTTGTGCTTACAAGACACATGGACAGACAGACAGTGTGATTCTATATACAACCAAACACTTTGTTTGAGTGAGTATAATAATAGACTATAAACCTGAGTAACCAAAACCAACAAGATGGTTGAAGCCTTCTTCCTTATATGAATTACTATTACATGTATTCTATTAAACATATATAACTACATACCAGGAAACCTCTCCAGTAATTCTGTATAATTTGTGTTGCCTCGTCCTCTGTCCAGATCAGGGACAATGGTAATGGTGGTCTAGGACTAAAAATACAAACATTTTACATTTTATTTCTGCCAGTGTGACTACCAGTAAATGTTTTTAGGGACCAGCACATCAAAAAATTTAAATTTAAAAAACCAACAGATAATATCATTGACATCAGGATGCAATTTGAAATAGCATATTATACTCTTTAATCTAAATTTTCAGTGAAATCCTATTTGTCATTTTAAATAGCTAGTTTTAATCACAATTATTCTACAATTTTCACAAAAAAAATTATATGCACATCTATGTGCTAGCACGGCAACTGTACAATATTTCGTTTCAGTACTAAGAACTTACTGATCCTTCAACCATTCCTTGACAAATGGGATTTCTTCTAATGTTACATTTTCTCTGTCTTTGTGTAAAGGATTCTTTCTACAAGAAAAAATAATGAAGAAACTAAATAACAACGAAGAAGCTATAAAATTTACAGCTAACTTGATTTTCTGTACGGTACTTTGAATGGTGCTTTCAGGCTTTTTTTTACCTGCCCCATTCTATGCATATTTTCCAATCTAGCATTATCAAGGACCATACCTCCTGAATGGCAAAAAGATAAATTGTCAATATCAAACTAAACCATTTTGTCCTCAGTAACACAATAATATAATTTGAAAACTATTGTAGAAGGGTTAATAAGTTATTGAACGGAAACAACATAAAGTGCCCTTTTCCAATATATCAAGGACAATATAACTCTTGAACCGTAAAAGTGAAATTCGTCAATATCTAATTTACCTCTATTCTGTCATTTTTATCAACATATTCAAATTTGAAATGCATTGGTTGAATGATTGATTAGTAATTGCAAGGAAACTGCTGGCAGCTGCCTGCTGTACTTCATCAATTTAATAACTGGGTTTTCAGAAAACTCAGATAATCTGTGATTTTTCTCCATTCCAATGATGGCTTTAAACCCAAATTAAATCATTTAACTGTTACAGAACATTTTAAAAGTCAACTTGCATCTTTACTTAATGTTTATGACTGAAGGTCTTACAACTTTAATAACTTTTACATAAACTTAATAAAATTTGACATAAAAATGATTTGCACAAATTTCTCCAATAAGTGAGGGCTTTCACAACAAGTTTATTAAATGCTCTGTAATATTAATGTGTGTGTGTGAAAATATCCAAGTATCTACTATATAATACTTACTTATATAATGTTTCTGTGAGATAATCTAATGCATTGAATTTTGTTCTTTTTCTCTGAAAAAATAAAATAAACAATGCATTGAAATACTATAATCAACACCATTTTTTTTCTACAAATAAGAATGGACACATAGAAATGTCTTTTTGTGTGCAACGGATTACCACAGAATCATATATGTTAAATATCTATGAGATCAAGGTCATACTTCAAGTATTAGAATTACAAGGGGGAGTATTCATATTGTATTCCAATTTATAGAATATGAAATCTGACTTTAAAAGAATATTAACAAGAGTGCACACGCTGAAATGTCTCGCCTTCTTTACTAATCATTGATATTATGTTGATAGTCCTAAATATAAAGCTTTCTTACAACTGTCACATAAACTTAACATTAACCAAGAAAAATAAACATTGACCAATGAACCATGGAAATGAGGTCAAGGTCAGATGAACCGTGCCAGGCAGGCATGTACAGCTAACAATTCTTCCATACAACAAATATAGTTGACCTACTGCTTATAGTTTAAGAAAAACAGACCAACACACAAAAACTTAACACTGAGCAATGAACTGTGAAAATGAGGTCAAGGTCAAATAAAAACTGCGCGACTGACATAAAGATCATAATATTTCCATACACCAAATATAGTTGACCTATTGCATATAGTATTAGAAAAAAAGACCAAAACCCAAAATCTTAACTTTGACCACTGAACCATGAAAATGAGGTCAAGATCTAATGACACCTGCCAGCTAGACATGTACACCTTACAATCATTCCATACACCAAATATAGTTGACCTATTGCTTAAAGTGTAAGAAAAACAGACCAAAACACAAAAACGTAACATAAGCAATGAACCATGAAAATGAGGTCAAGGTCAAATAAAACCTGCCAGACTGACATGTACATCATTAAATATTTCCATACACCAAATATAGTTGACCTACTGCATACAGTATTAGGAAAACAGACCAAAACACAAAAACTTAACATTAAGCAATGAACCATGAAAATGAGGTCAAGGTCAAATAAAACATGCCAGACTGACATGTACATCGTAAAATATTTCCATACACCAAATATAGTTGACCTACTGCATACAGTACTAGAAAAACAAACCAAAACACAAAAACTTAACATTGAGCAATGAACCGTGAAAATGAGGTCAAGGTCAAATAAAACTTGCCAGACTGACATGAACATCGTACAATATTTCCATACACCAAATACAGTTGACCTATTGCATACAGTATAAGAAAAACAGACCAAAACACAAAAACTAAACTATGACCACTGAACCATGAAAATGAGGTCAAGGTCAGATGACACCTGCCAGTTGGACATGTACCCCTTACTATCATTACATACACCAAATATAGTAGACCTATTGCTTATAGTATCTCAGATATGGACTTGACCACGAAAACTTAACCTTGTTCACTGATCCATGAAATAAGGTCGAGGTCAAGTGAAAACTATCTGACGGGCATGAGGACCTTGCAAGGTACGCACATACCAAATATAGTTATCCTATTACTTATAATAAGAGAGAATTTAACATTCCAAAAAATCTGAACTTTTTTTTCAAGTAGTCGCTGAACCATGAAAATGAGGTCAAGGACATTGGACGTGTGACTGACGGAAACTTCCTAACATGAGGCATCTATTTACAAAGTATGAAGCATTCAGGTCTTCCACCTTCTAAAATATAAAGCTTTTAAGAAGTTAGCTAACGCCGCCGCCGCCGCAGGATCACTATCCCTATGTCGAGCTGGATCACTATCCCTATGTCGAGCTTTCTGCGACAAAAGTCGCAGGCTCGACAAAAAACTGATAAAGTTAAAACCTTTTATACTTGAAGTATGGTGTACCATAAAAATGAGATTTATGGTATGGCAATCCCTGTCAGATGGAACTGTGTACCTGATGTACAATGTCTCTAAATATAGTTGACTGTTACTTATAATAACTAAGACTCCAAAACTAACCTAATCAGGAAAACTTGATGTGAATCAATGTACCATTATAACAAGGTCAAATCATTCCAGACATGCATGTACACAGGACAAAATAAGTGTAGGTCAAATAAAGTATTCAAATTACTAACTGAACTGCGAAAATGACGGTATAATGAAAAGTTTCCAACATGTCCACCAGAGGTCGTGTGTTTTGTAGTGTTGTATAGATGATGTCTCACTGTCTTATGCCTTACATATTTTTTTATCTACATACTGTTGACATGTCTTGCACAACAGCAAATTAAAAAACTTAATACTGAAAACATAACCTAACAACTGCAGAATAAACAAGAATGTCTCCATAGTACATGGATGCCCCACTCACACTATCATTTTCTATGTTCAGTGGACTGTGAAATTGGGGTCAAAACTCTAATTTGGCATTTAAATTAGAAAGATTATATCATAGGGAACATGTGTACTAAGTTTCAAGTTGATTGGACTTCAACTTAATCAAAAACTACCTTGACCAAAAACTTTAACCTGAAGCGGGACAGAGGGACTAACAAACGGAAGCACAGACCGAAAAACATAATGCCCCTCTACTATCGTAGGTGGGGCATAAAAATGAGGTTAATTTAAGTAACAATAATTGGGTGACAGGATCCATTAAATTAGTAATCTTTATAGGAACACAGAGATACAAGTCCATGGTATCTGGAGTGGTCGATGCAGTAGCTGTCAACAGATGTAATATACATACATTTTTGTAAGTCTGACCACAAGCAAGACAAAAATTGTACTTATACAAATTTTATCTATTTAAATCTATACTCCTCTGGGTCTTGGATGACAGAATAATTTCTCTTAAATACTGTATCCAGAATGGCAATGTGTATGCTGACAGAATTAATACAAACACACTTTTATTGTTTTTCAGGGACTAATATATAAAAAAATATGTACAATTTAAAACTAATAACTATCAGATTAGCCACAATCTATTCATTATGTATAAAATACAAACCTCAAGACATTTTTCTTTTTTGGCTTGTCTTAGCATATCTTCTAAGGCAGGTAATAACCATGGAAATACATAATGTTCCAAATATTCACGAGGACTACCTGTAATTCAACAAAAATATGTCAGGTCCAGTAGTAGTGGTTTGGGACTTACCGGTATGAATTCACCCTACTTAAGTTGAAGAAAAAACACAAATATTTTTCAAGAAACAGATTTTAATATTTTGTCAATTGTTAAACATTATAGTATAATTAATATATTTATAATAAGAATATTTAAATTTTCTATTCAAATTTCAAAGACAACATTATTCCAACTTCAGCATGATTTTACTGTAATGTTTGATGGCTTGATATAGTAACTGATCTTTGAAATGAGATGATATGAGATTTTTGCGGTATTTCACTGTTAATAATCTATGTGCATATAAGAAAGATAATTTTAAGATTTAAGTGGTTACCTAGCGTACCCACTCCTTCAGTTTAAAAACAAACCTACTATTATATTTGAAATATTTTCATCAACCTGCAACTTGACGAACAATGACTACAAACAACTCAACAAATCCAGTTAATCTAAACCACTCTCCTAAATTGACTGAGACATATTCATACACTTCATCTGTCTTTTGTTGCATGTTGACCTCTAGAGATCTTTTGGTTCTTTGTGTCATTCCACTGAAGTATATCCAGCATTTTCTTTTGGTCATAAAACATACATGTAAAATTAAATAAAATTTACACAGACACACCATATTAATAAGTACTTACATTTATCCTTATTTGGTGCATCAGGAGGAGGAGGGGGAGGAGAAGCTGGAGGTTTATCTGTAAATGCAAATCCTGCACAAGCTGGATGAGCAGTAGCAGGATCTATGTCCATGATAGGGTCGGCATCAGCCAAAACTTTTTCATGCATCTTCCCATAGAAGACAGGTGTGTGTTTGGAAGGATCAAAATCAATATATTCTGTTCTTACGGACTGTTCATCATCATCTCGAAATGGTGGGCGTTTTGAATCAAAATCTGTATAATTAAATAAATTAAAATTAGTTAAGTTATAACAATAGCCTTTTGAAAAAGAATATACCTTTATGACCTCAAAAATATTTAAGTTATACTACATGTAAGTACTTTTGTACTTAGAAATGAGAAAGGAAACGGGGAATGTGTTAGAGACAACCCGACCAAAGAGAAGAAAACAGCCCAAGGCCACCAATGGGTCTTCAACAAAGCGAGAAAATCCTGCACCTGGAGGCGACTTTAGCTGGCTCCTAAACAAAAATGTGTACTAGATCAGAGAAAATGGACGTCACACTTAAAACTCCGAAACATAAATGAACTAAAATAAAAAAAAACATACAAGACTAACAAAGGCCAGAGGTTCCTGACTTTGGACCAGCGCAAAAATGCTAGCTCAGTTGGTAAAGCAATGATTTTTATCTACAAAAAAAAATAACATGTACTCTTCTGTTACAGGCCACCCCGTAAGACAAATGAAACAATAGAGGCCAAAGTCCTAATAAGTGTAAGAAAATCAATATACTAGTGAATCCAAACTTGTTGAATTTTTTTAAAACCCTTGTTATTGTGCCTTCCAGAGGCGGATTTAGGGGGGGGGGCCCGGCCCCCCCTTTTGTGGGAAAAATTGGCTGATTATATGGGGAATCACTGAAGCATGACTGGAGCGGGCCCCCTCTTAGGCAGTCAGTGGACCCCCTCTTATGAAAATTTCTGGATCCGCCACTGCCTTCACTTTCATCTACATTCAGCCCAATCAAAAAAATATTTACAAGGGATGAAAATTTTATACCGGTATATATATATATATTTGGCTTGTAGTTCATAAATATTGATGAATTTTATGAATAATAAATAGCAAAGTTTGATAATAAAAATCTGTGTTTTGCATATTCAAATATATAATTTTCATTCTGGAGACATTTATTTGAATATTAAATTCATGTACAAATGTATAAAGATTTCATATCAAAATATAATATTTTTTAGGATTAGGGTAACACTTTTGACACACGTGTTTTTTTTTGTTAAAGGTAAAATCCTAACATGTGTTAATCTTTAAAAAATTTTGTGTAAGTCTTCTAGTGTTCCTTTGATAAAAAAAGGAGATATCTATATATTCATTTGACCACACAGTTACAATGGTCTATCTCCATATACAACTATAATACAAGATTTCTACATTTTACAAGTTTAAGCCAAACCTATACTGTTAAATCTCCACACTCCTATATATATTGAATTATAATAGCTTATTCATCTAGTTGGACACCTGAAGAAAAATAGTGTTATAGTGTTGTATTTCCATTATTTATCAAGTATTTTTGCTGTAAAATATTTAACAAAATTATCTGACTTTGCTTAAATTTTTTGCATGGTTTGAACACAATCTATGCGTAATTCTTAGCAAAATTAGCATTACAGAATTGGGGATGTAAAATCTATGATCTATCTCCAATAGAAATATAGAGATTAATTTCTAAAACAACATTGTTTGTCCTGACGTGTTGTATCTCTACAAAAGGAGGTGATTTATCTGTTCTTGTCTATTAAAAAAACAATCGAACAAAGAGTGAATCTTCGTGTCAGTAAATTTGATTCCTACATAACTTTCTATACACCAAACATGCCAAACTGGAGTTGTTTTTTAAATTATGAATGACATCTGTTGACCCAAAGTCAATCGGCGTAAATGATGTCATAAAGAATCAATTCTTACTGTGATGTAATAACATAAGCATTGTGACATAGGAAATTTAAGGGAAAGTACATGAATTTGTAAGTAGTTTATAATATCTTAATCAAATATTATTAATTATATTGCGTTTTTTAAACTTCATTTTCAACTTTCCAACATTTAGAAAAATTGGACTTACAAACGTAAACTGGGGTAATCAATTCATGTAAACTATCCAGGGTTTGACTAGGAACAGATTTCATAACTTGTGAACAGCTGAACAGGTACATATGTACTGGTAGATACCTCAGTTATTGTGAGCTCCCCTCGATAGCTGTGAGGGTACAGTGGTATCTGTGTACACTCCCTATCAGGATTAACGGAGCTGTGTCACTAATTTATGTACAACCCACCATCAAGGCGAATCCCCAACCCAACACTATGGGAGTGTTAGGACACAGGGAAGTCTGTTATTAATGTGGAGGGAGCTGAAGTACTGAAAAAGAACCACCAGAGTACCTGAGATGTGTGTGGGATGATGAAAATCACCATACTAATGTACTGAAATTTCCAGCGCCCTGAGTCGGGATCGAAACTGGGACCTTCAGCATAGACCTTATCGCTATTTGGAAATCTTTGCCGCTTTACCTATCGACGTCATACAACAATCACTTTTTCATTGTGGCGTCAGTTAATTATTTTCTACAGCGACGTCAAAATTTTACGAGAAACCTTTGTGATGTCCAGTAATGGCGGACAAATAGTGATAAGGTGTATTGTAGCCATCTGTCTTAACCACTATGCAAATAACCCACAGACTGGCACATGAATATATAGACAACTGACCATCTATCTATCTTCGTATTTCCACACTCAGTCACAACTTTGACTATTACGTGGCTTATTTACAATTTAAAAGAAATAAACCTTTTCAGTAATATTACTGTGACATTTCGATCTGCTCTGTGCTAAATTTAGAACATCCTTTCAAATTTTTCAGTCAGTGACCATTTTAAAAGATACATTTGAGTGTGCTGTGTACTTTGCTATTGACTTAAACTGTGTATCACCTTTGCATATTTCTGACCACAAATTTTTTTCTGGGACTTTCACGATGACCGCCATGTTGTTTATAATAATTTTCTACTTAAATATATGATGACACGACAGTAAATAGTTCATAAGAAAGATTGGAAGATTTTTATAAATCTTTGTCTTCGTTCTATATTGGTTCCTTACATGTTTTAAATATAATATTTGTGATTAGAAAAAGTTTTCTCTACATTTTAGATGGGCGAATAATTTTTCTCAAAGCAAACGCGCAGTGATTTCGTTGCTAGACATTAATTTAGGTTTCTCTTGAATTATCCACCTATTTGGGTAAAAGCCAGAAACTAATTTCAAATTTAACTCTGAGTAGTTCAAACGTTTATAATAAGCTGGTTTTAACCTTTTTTTAAAGGCATTCATGCTATTTGAACAAAATATAAGGTTAAAATTAAGCACGTTCCAGCGTCTATTTCCGCACTTGAAATGGTAAGTTAAGCAGACAATAATTCATAGTTGGATTCTATGGAATTTTTTCTTGTTAAAGGGAGGTTATACAAGTTACATATTGTGTATATTGAGACAATATTTCATAGAATCATAGATGGTTTATAATACACCTTATCGCTATTCCCGGCTGACCCGAGAATCTGTCCCGCTTGAACTTTTGACGTCATACAACAATCACTTTTCCATTGTGGCGTCAGATATTTTGTATTGTGACGTCAAAATTTTACGGGAACCTGTGTGATGTCCAGTAATGGCGGACAAATAGCGATAAGGTGTATTTATGGGTACAGGATAACTCGTACCTTCACCAACTCATACTTAATATGAGGCAGGCGTTACCTGTGAAAGGGGACGAAGTCTGTATGAATTATTTTTTTTTAATTCAAACATATTTTAACTTCAAAATCTGTTGAAAAAAGAAACGGAAATACCCTTACATTTCCGATTTCGGTTCTGTTGTTCGGAATTTTAGTTGTGACGTTATTTATGTTATGACGTCATATTCAATGTAAACAAAGAAACGCTATCAGGTAACGTTTTTTCATATCAAGCCATTCAAGGAATTATTAAAAATGGAATTGGTATTGCGTTCCTTCCTATATTTTACTAGACTGATAAATATATATTTTACTCAAAAGACTCATGCAAACGAGACCGGAAAAAGGAAGTAGATTTCTGCGCAAATGCGGGAAAATAAAAAAGTCTGAAAATAAAAAAGTTAACGATTTTGAGTTCATTAGTACAATGAAAATTTCGGGAAATTTTCCCGATTTTTTTTTTTTTTTTTTTTTTTTATTGATTTTTTTACCGTAATAGGGGACTTCGTCCCCTTATTATTCATATACATTATACGATGCAGTCAGGTAAATTTCGCCCACATAAAGCTTTGATCGTATGTATTCAGAGCTCCAGATAAGAATTCACAAATTGGGGTTTTTACCCACCATTTTTTTGTGTAATTGGGTGATAAAGTTTTTTAATTGCATTATCAATTCCAATTCACCCCTCAAGCAAATATCAAATTGGGTTTTTCACCACCAAGCTCCTTAATGTATTGGTTTTTTTCATCAACACAATATTGAATATTTAGGCATGTTATAATCACATTATATCAACCCCAGATGTGTTTCCATCTCAAATTTGTTTCTTTCTTTGTATATGTGCATAGCTGTTTTATTTGGTTTATTCACTGACGAGCAAATGTACGTTTAATTTGTGTCCTGTTTTAAACATTCTGTCAGTTTTGTATTTTCTCAAAACTTATGTAAACTGCAGCTGGTGTCACTAGTTGGACAGTAACTAATTGCCTTTCTAGATCCCATATGATCACCCTACAGTTTATAGTTGGGGTAGGTGTGGCTAAGTGTATAGATATTTATGTAATATATGTGAAATTTAGGTGCTGTAAGAAAGTTTCGCCAGTCCTTTCACCTATTTGCCAGATCTACTTTTTAATAAAAATAAAAAGTAGTTCCCAGATTTAAGATATACCCCAAAACCTTGAGATTTATAGGGTGGTTTAATGATGGAGACCACATTCAACTTAAATTTACAAATAATTCTGCAACATCAAGTAAATAAATGACAATGTTATACTGCACTTGCCAATAAGACAACTATCTTAAGCATCCAGAACAATTAGACCAAAACAAAGAAAGTGTCAAGCTGCATAATTTGACGTAAAAAACGGATATGTGTATTAATTCATCAACTAAAATGAAAATAAATAATATATAAACTGTTTTTGTTTAATTCAATTTACATAATGATAAATCTGGGTTAAGTTGTCCCTTATCAGAACTTTTGGTTTCGGATGCTTTCCAACTACATATCATGTCATAATTGATTTGGCCTTTCACTTTTTCCAACTGATTTCGTTTTTGACGAAACCCCGTGTTTATCGTTCTACAGCAATGTTCTCGTACCTTCAAACACGCCCGTGCGTTCAATGGACGCTTCCTAAAATCACTAGCTGAGTCTTGTTATCATCATAACTTTCCCTCAGCTATCAAAAAGAAGCCGAAAACATGCTTCTATTCAATATTTTTATCGGACATTTACTTTCATTTTAATTCATTGTATGTTATGATAAATCACGAGCAATTCGAAAAAATAGGACAGCATGTCACACGCTAATTGCATAAACGCCTAGAAGATCGAAATGTTTTCATAAACACGTGTACCTTTTGAGCAAAGGAAATTTCCAACAGGGACCCATTACAGCTACTTGATGCAGGGCTCTATTTTAAGAACGAAAGGACATTTCCAATTATAAATATAAAAATAGATTTACGCGACGACTGTAATCAAATAAGGGTAAATAAAGCAAACGATAGCAAATAAAAGCGTTAAGAACTCATGGTTTTGGCATATAATTCGGTTTTCCTTTGAATTAATTGGGTTATTGAACCCTGCAATGGGCAATTGCATTGGGTTTTTAATTATTTGTATTGCGTGATCACGCAAATACGCAGCTTATCTGGAGCTCTGTACAGTATTTCTGCTAAATTATATACAAATTGTATCAAATTCAATATAAATCGATTCACTGACAAATTAGTTTTGAGAAGTTTATCTCAATTACCCCAAAATATCTGAAATAAATTTTAAAATCAACAAAACAAGTGGGTCATCAGGTGTTTTTATCAGAAATGTGTTTGTCCGGTAAATCCACCCATGCACAGTAAATATGTATGGAGGGCCAGTTTATCACATATTTATAAAAGGAAAAGGTGATCTATTAATCATGTTAATAGACCACTTATAAAGGGATTCGAGACAATTGAAAAAAAAAAAATTCAGTCAGAAACGAGTTTTGTAAGCAATAATATGATTATCGTTAGCTTTAGAAATTGTATTAAATATATCTCTAGATATTTTAGTAATTAAGGATTTTTCTTTAAAATTTGACATTCAGTGATGATAAGTACAGTTCCTATGAATAAAATAGCAGACGAAATATTCACGGAAGTGTTAATTACAGAAGTAAATGGGAATGGGCAGATTTATGGGATGGGCAGAATTGCCGGACACTACTGTACTTGTTATTTTCTTTCATATATCATGATGTATAGCAACATACAAATAAAATAGAATATAACTTTGATTGCTAATATGATGCAATCATAATTGTTTCAAATCAAAGCTAATTAAATGCTAATTATTAGTCATTAGAATTTTTTGATTATATGAAATTGTTTGAACAACAATTTATTTAATATGCATATTAAATAATTATAATCATGCAATATACTAATCAGTGATCATTAGTGGATAAGAGACCTACAAAACTAGAATGGATTTGTTTAATAAGAAATAAACATAGAGAAGTATATAAAAACAAAAATTCTGTATAAATGCGGCACTTAAACAAATATATGTAAACCATTTGGACATTCTGGCTTTATGATTTCAAAAGGATTAGAAAAGTATTCATTATATATACACTAGCACGAAAAAACTCACATGTCCAATGCAAAATTCATTAAAAAATATCCTTTTCCAATATTCTATGGATCGTTCAAGCTTGAGATGATGTTCTATATATTTTTATTTACAAAAAAAAGGGTTAAATTTCCATTAAAAATCCAGAAACGCTCGCAATTTCACGGCAGAGGATTTCTCGGGGATGACATAATTAGAATAAGAAATATTTCTGTGGGCAGTATTTCACAGTGAAATATGGTCATGGACAGAATTTCACAGTGAAATATTATCATGGACAGTATTTCATAGTGAAATATTGTCCAGAAGGAGGTGACAAAATTTCGTGGGCAAAGACACTATTTCATGAGATATTGTCCTTGACAGTAATTCAGTATGAAATAGTGTCCGTTGACAATATTTTATAGGAAATTTAGTCCGATTGGCAATATTTCATGGACGCATCTATCTTAGCCGCAGCCATTTATTTCAGCAATTATTTACAATTGCATAACCCCTATTGTACTGTACCTTATTATAATCCAAAGGGTCCTCCTGATTACTGTCTAAAGCCCTGAGGGACATTCAGCTGATGATCGCCATTCACTTGTACAGGTAGATCGACACACCTGACAGGAGAACACTTGATCAAGAGAGACAATTAATTGCATTATTTAATTATTTTTTTAGCAAATGCTAATGAAAATTCAGATTAAGAAATAAAATTTAAATTCAATTACAAAGAGAAAAGATTTTGACAAGTTGAACACATGCTTTTATTGACAGACACAATCAACACCCCTATATATAAACGAGTACAAGGTTAGACTCTTAATCGCAAAACTACATAATTTCATGCCAAATAACAACAATTATTCATCATGATTAATCATTTTAGTAGTTTCAAAGTAAATACTCGAATATTAACTGCAACTTAATAATCTGAAGAAATTTCGTAACGTAAAAATAATACACCCGGTTTACAAAATCGAAAGATGCATGTTGCATGGTCTATTATTGTGGGAATTTGCAATTTTATGACATAAAAATCGTTTCAATTTTAAACTTTTGCCTTCCAAAATCTGTTTTCAATGTTTTACAAAAATGGTTATGAAACTTGTTGTTGATGCTGTAAATCATCGATCCAAATTAGTGACTTCTGAATTGAATTTGACATTACTACAACAGGGGTGTTTGTACAGTGAGAAAAAAGGTCCCCATTTCAAAGTCCTATCAAAATTACCAAAATAGTGAGAAAACGACTCTGGGAACCTTCTGACAGGAAAAATGTTGATGTTAACTAGGTTAACCATGACGGAACAGCTGATTTGTGGTTATAAGAGGAGACATGCAGGCTTCACATTGGAATTGTTATACAAATGACAATTAATAAAAATATTGGTTATTCTATAATGAAATGAATATAATAAACAATATGTATTAGTCTATTCACTATTTCTTACAATGAACATGATGAAGTGTGCAGTCGCCACGATACATTTTTGAATCTACAGGCCTGAAGCTGAATTTTACGAAAATTTTAGTTAGATTCTATTGGCCTGTAGAGATGATATTTACAGGCCCGAAAGCATTTTTCAAGCCTGGGCTGGTGGGCCTGTTGTAGAGCGTGAAGACTGAGAGTAGGAATGAAATATTTTCGATCACACTGGGATTTGTCCTGGTGAGAGTTCCTCCATCGTTGAATTTTCATCGGATCCATGGAGATCTCTGATACATGTAGCATCACTTTTGCATTGTTGCATTGGATATTTTCTCTTGTTACATGAAAATATTAAGGAAATACTGTAATGGCTGACAAATAACAATAAGGTGTATTGTGAAACTTGACCCTTTTGAGAATTTAAGTCACTTTATTCTGTAGTATCAGATTTTTTTTGGTGACGGAAATATGTACAATGTATTAGTGATCAATCAAAAGATCTTTCTTTTGGTAGAAGTATCACCAAAAAGAAGAATAAGTTATGAGCGATATTTTTCTCCTGGAAGATGATAGTCAAAACTGTAAGTTACACACAATTGAATTGTTCTGAATTTTTTTTTAGAATCTACATTGACTTGAATAATAACTTTCTAATAACTGAGATTTTCCCCAACTACAAAATGCAGACATACATGTATGTCTCACCAACAATAATAAAAAATTAAACTCAATATTTCATTACAAAAATGCAATTTATATATCGATCTCCAAAAAGTATTAGCAGACAAATAGTGATAAGGTGTACATTAAATTGTCAGAAACACTATCCTTAATGATTGAAAGTTCTTAAATTAAAATACACTAAACCGTAGTGCAAGAATAGAAATGACAACCTCAAAATGCAAATATTGTGACTGAATTCTGTAATGCATGTTATAAGAGTTGACATGCTTGTAAGTTTTTGACATTGTTATGGTAACTGGTTTTTGCAGTAGAACCTGAGACCTGGTGACAAAAATGTCAGGCTATGTCATTGGGATAAGCATTTTTCAGAAAATAAATATTTACAATGATTTATGAATAAGATCACACTTAAAGTAAAAATCCCTGAATTCCATGAACTTGCAAGAGAATCAATTTGTAATCATCAACAACATATAATGTTTATGAAAAATTTGATTTTGTTTGAAGCAGCATGATTCAATAATGTCTTTCTTAAATCATGATGGCTCCTGAAGAAAATTTATTGTGTAAACTTAAAAGGGTTGATTTTTGAGATTCTGAGTTAGAGTGTTTATTTTTTTATTTGAAAACTGAGGAACTGTAGCTTTTTGGTCCTGTGCTGAATTCTTATTTGTGTGAATATTACCATAAAATAAAAAAAATTAAAATAAATAAAGGAACCATAACCATTACAGTAACAAAACTAGTTATTTAGCTGCCCATCAGCTTGTTAATTATGTAGTCAATATAATAGATGCAGCAAAGTTTTACACCACAACTTCACATGTGTATTGATTTGCTGACCAAATAATCTACATTTGGAAAGAGAAATTTATGTTTTAAAAAGTGTTGGCAGAATATTTTTGTGCTGCCAAAGTGGATAAATCTTTAAAGCCAAATCATTTATTCATTCAAGAGAAACCAAAACTGGTTTAAACAATTCAAAAACTGTTTTAAGTATGTATATATACATGTATTTATTACTGATAAGTTCTAAGGACAGGCTTATTAGAACGTTTAATGATCATGGTGATGATATCCATTTATAAATTTTGACAACAAATTTGTATCCTTTGAACTTTTTCTAACCTGAAATAGAAAACCAATGTTGCCCTCACTAAAACAAGACACAACCCTATTCAGATAACAAAACAGCTGGCTATTCCTTCACTTAAACATACATATTAAAAACTGAGCATTGTGCATTCCATCATAAGACATAAATGCAAACGAAAGTATTTCTAGTCAACTTATTAGTAATGAAAATTAATATATTCTATTCAAAAATAAAAAAACTTAAAGAAATGTAAACATCATTGTTGAAGGCCGTACGGTGATCTATAGTTGTTAATTTCTGTGTCATTTGGTCTCTTGTGGAGAGTTGTTTCATTGGCAATCATACCACATCTTCTTATTTTTACATAAAACTTTGTACTACACAAAGTATTGGTCTAGAAAAATATAAAAGATTTGGATACAGAATACTGCATTATATTTGGTGTCTGAAATCTTTATTAAATCAAGTAAAAAAATAATTGATTTTAAAAACAATAATACAGATAAAGTTTATAATTATGAATTTTTTTTCTTTCAGAAAGAAACAGGAAATTGAAAGCTGGATTAGACCAGAATAAAAGCTGTGTTTGATCAAAATGTTAAAAAACCTAGTTGATGGTTTCAAAGGTCTGGTTGAAGTAGCAGGAGCCAGCATCAATCCGTACACTGTTAACAATGTTAAGCTTGAAAACTACAAAGAGTAAGCAATTAGTTGATTTATATAAAAGATAGAGTTGACTTTTACATACAGCATAATGAGGGATTTGTTGACTTTGTCACACACGTGACATTTGTAGCATCACTTTCAATTTTGAATTACCGGTAGTACTTTACATATTTCTTAAGTTTTTCATTTTGTTTGTAAACATCAAGATAAAGCAGTTAATATTCAGTATTGACCTTTATTGTATGGCAAAGCCAGAAGCTGTACAAGGGGTTAGATTAAGATTAATATACATATTATGTATGATAATTACTATATTCATAATTTTAGTCTTTCTTTTTTTTGGAAAATAGTGTTTATTTATAACCAATGGCGATAGGCAATTAATTTGAAAAATACAGGCCTGGTTGAAGTAGCAGGTTAAATTATAAAAGTTCTGATGATTTAGTATTATCGTATTTCTCTGACCAAATTTTTGTACAATATGTTTCAGTTATTCTAAACGTGCTGAAGAAGGACACCTGATATTGTATAAGAAACATAGCTGCTATGATTGTATTGTTGTCAGTACTTCTAATCCTGTATCAGTATGGAGGTATTTATAGTTTTTACCTGCCCGAATAAGTCAGTCCCAGTTCTCAACAAAAATTCTGTGTGTCCAACACTATTTGCCTCTGGTAGCGCTATTTCATCCTTTGAACAAGAAGCTGTTCATCTAGTAGATGTGCTTTGGGTCTATTATACTTATTTATAACAGCACCTTTAACATCAAGCTTATTCTAATCACTTAGCGTTATTTTACAACAATTTTTCAGCCTTTGGACCCACCAAATTATATTGTATTGACTATAGAATTGATTATGACACTTGAAAACTGAAATGTATATCCAAGAAATACAAATGTAAATATTGATTTTAACCATGAAAGTGTAAAAGTTTGATATCATTATTTTGCTTAAAATATCATTATAATTCAGTTAACATTTTATCTAGATACAAGAGGTATTTAAAACAAATAGCTGATTAAAATTTAAATTGACCTGATAAATTATATGAACATTACCATAGATTTACACCAGTTCCCATCTGGACATGTAACTTGCTTCGCTTGATAATATTAGAGGTTGAGTTGAATAATATTGAAATAAGCCTTAGAGCTCTGGCAAGAGTTTTTCAGTTTGTTGGTTTACAGATCTGCCGACCCAATTTTTCTGATTTTCAGAAAAAATAAAATTGACATTCCATACTTTTTTATTCCTGCAAACCATGAGAAATGCATTATCCCTGAAATGTAAATAAAAAATATCTTCCTGAAATTAAATGCATTATTTTAGCATGTTAAAAGATTATCAGAAATGATTGCACTTTGTGTTCTTAAAAAATAAAAAATCTAAAAATAATCTTAAGTTTGTGTTTCTAAAAATAGACGATTCAATCTAACCTTGAAATGTTGTTTGCGCAAATAATTTTGCGGAACAAAGTATATGTTAAAAACTCATTACAATAAGTAAGTTTTCCTTTATTGTCATAATTCCTTAAGATTTTTCATTTGATAGATGAAATGGACCCGTCCACACGTGAAAAACGTCAAGTTAAAAGAAAGAGATATCCACAAACAATTGGAAATTTTCTTATTTCATAGATTGGAAAAAATGTTTGTCCATTTGGATATCAAAAACAGGATTGCCTGTCAAAGGATGAAACTGATATCCTCAATTTTGCGGTGGACATGTCTATTACCTTTATGACACGGAGGGTAAAGTGTTATGTTCGTGCAACATGTTTGCAATTTTTATTATACGACCGCAAAAAAAATTTTGTGGTCGTATATTGGTATGACGTTGGCGTCGTCGTCGTCGTGGTCGTCGTCCGAAGACACATTAGTTTTCGCACTCTAACTTTAGTTTAAGTGAATGGATCTCAATGAAATTTTACCATAAGGTTTAATACCACAAAAGGAAGGTGGGGATTGATTTTGGGGGTTATGGTACCAACAGTTAAGGAATTAGGGGCAAAAAATAAGCATTTTTGTAACTTCCAGACATAACTTGTGTGTAAGTGTATGGATCTCTCTGACATTGTACCACAAGGTTCCATATCTCAAAGGGAATGCTGGGATTGATTTTGGGGGTAATTGCCTCCAAATTTTAGGAATTAGGGGCCAAAAAGGGGCCAAAAACAAGCATTTTTCTAGTTTCATGAAAATAACTTGTGTGTAAGTGTATGGATCTCTCTGACATTGTATCACAAGGTTCCATATCACAAAGGGAATGCTGGGATTGAGTTTGGGGGTAATTGCCTCCAAATTTTAGGAATTAGGGGCCAAAAAGGGGCAAAAAACAAGCATTTTTCTAGTTTCATGACAATAACTTATGTGTAAGTATATGGATCTTTATGAAATTGTACTACAAGGTTCCATATCACAAAGGGAAAGCTGGAATTGAGTTTGGGGGTAATTGCCCAAAAAGTTTAGGAATAAGGGCCCAAAAAGGGGCCAAAAATAAGCATTTTTCTAGTTTCCAGACAATAACTTGTGTTCAAGTGTATGGATCTCTCTGAAATTGTACTGCAAGGTACCATACCACAAAGGGAAGGCTGGGATTGAGTTTGGGGGTGATGAATCATAAGGGGGTTCAAAAAATTTGGGGGGGGGGATTTTTTTTCCTTTTTTTTTCTTTAAAATTTTCCATTTTAAATTGGTTATTTCTGATTTATATATAAAAGCAAATAATAATGATATGGTTTGAATAGGTAAATTAAAAAATTTTAAGTTCTTAGACCACTTTCATTCTGTGCCAGAAACCTATGCTGTGTCAAATATTTAATTACAATCCAAATTCAGTGCTGTATCAAGCTTGAATGTTGTGTCCATACTTGGCCCAACTGTTCAGGGTTCGACCTCTGCGGTCGTATCAAGCTGCGCCCCAGCGGAGCATTTTATTTCACTTTTTTTCATGTTTAATCTCATTATTCATCATGAATGTTGATAAAATGCAACATGTAGCTGTTTTTTTTTTTTTTTTTATTTTCCTGTTTTTCCGTGGACATACCCCCCCTTTTTACAAACTTATATGATGATGGCATGCATTGTATGTTTAAAACAGTTGAGCAATAATATTTGGAACTAAGAAATTATGACAAAAAAGCATACCAAAATTATTGTTAGTAAGCTGAAAGATATATATATTTTTTATATACATATTTATTTCTTATAAGAATTTTTTTTCTTTTTTTTTCCCAACTGACCAACCGGACTTTTTCATATAAAAATCTGTAAACCAACAAATTGAAAAACCCTGGCCTCACCTTATAATATCATTTGTTTTCTTGGCAGCATATTTAGGTTAACCAGTGACGGTGAAGCTTATGCCCAGTTTGGTTTATATGCATCTAAACTGAATGTTTTGATTGCTAGGAGCAGCTCAGTGTTTGTAGGTGACAATCTTCAGAAAATCACTGATGTGATTAAAGAACATTCATCATGGACACCTATACATATAGCAGCATACCTAGGATTTTACGAATTCATTAGGCAGCCTGATATAAAAAGGTATAAATAAATGTGGTAAATACATGTATCTTCAATTACAATAAAAAAATAAGGAGATGTAGTATGATTGCCAATGAGACAACTATCCACCAAAGTTCAAATGGTGTGGATGTAAGCAATTATAGTCAACTGTACAGGCCTTCAACAATGAGAAAAACCCATACGATATAGTCTGCTATAAAAGGCCCTGACATTAAAAATATGAACAATTCAATTGAGAAACTAACAGCCTAATTTATAACAAAATATTCACGAAAAACAAATAAGACAGACATGAACCAAAGACAAAGATCTATAGGCTCCTGACTTGGGACAGGCACATGTAGAATGTGGCGGGGTTAAACATGTTTGAAGGCGCCAACCCTTGCCCTAACCTGGGACAGTGGTGTAACAGTACATAATAAGAACAAATTATAGAAATCAGTTGAAAAGGGCTTAATTCATCAGATCGATACAAAGCAGAAAAAACATCTAAGAAAAACACAGACTGGACGTGGCATGGTATTTTTACATCCATCACAACACAAAGTACCAATCTAATAGTACTCGCAGTTACTGACAGCTTGTTCAAAGCCAATAACAGCCAATAAAAAAATCCTGTATTTAAAACTAAAATATTAATCAGTACACATCCAGCATCCAATGGATTTCATTAACAGTCAAAGAAAAACATGACCTTGTGCAATGCCAAAATATAGGTATCTACAGATTGTAGTATCTTGAATGTGTATATGTGTATAACAATATCATTTAGTATGATTTTAATTTACTGATGACAAAATCAATATTCATACCAATAAAAACAATATTCAAAGATCTAATTACAGTATTGAATTGGTAACCTTTTAGAATAATTTTATTTAAAGGATTGATAAGTTTAACCGGATCGTATCTAAATTTCCAGGCTCGGTTAACAACATCACTGTAAAAACGAGGATTCCGTTTAAAATAAGTTTTCTGCAGGTACAGCCAAACTTCCAAACCAAATCTTTGTATCTATGGAAGAAATTCATTAGGCAGCCTGATATTATAAGGTATAAGTAAATGTGGTAAATATATCCAACTTGACTTTAAATGGTGATGTATTAGCATTAACAACAACCTAGTATCATTTTGAATTGTCTTGCTCACAGCTTTTATGGTGTTTCGATCATTTAGTGAGAAAACATTTAAGTTATGCAATCTGTCAAATTTAAAATCATGATATTCATTATATCTGGAAGACATTACAGTTTGAACTTTGCACATACATGAATTCATTGATTTTATGCAAAGTTCCCATTATTTTGCAATGCTTCAATTTATTTTTAAAGTCAAATAAGGCCGTTTTCACACTTTATGCTTTAATCAATGATAAACCCTGCCGCATTTTTGCGCCTTTCCCAAGTCAGGAGCCTCTGGCCTTTGTTAGTCTTGTATCATTTTTAATTTTAGTTTCTTGTGTATAATTTGGAGTTTAGTATGATGTCCATTATCACTGAACTAGTATATATATTTGTTTAGGGGCCAGCTGAAGGACGCCTCCGGGTGCGGGAGTTTCTCGCTGCATTGAAGACCCATTGGTGACCTTCGGCTGTTGTCGGCTCTATGGTCGGGTTGTTGTCTCTTTGACACATTCCCCATTTCCATTCTCAATTTTATTTATTAAAGTAAATTTGCTGAGAATCTTGGAATACTGAAAATTTGTAAATTTCTTCCTTTCTATTTCAGCAAAATAAATGATAAAACAACAACTTCAGAGGCCACACCTCTAATGACAGCAGTAATGGGTAAACAGTTCCAGTGTATAGAACAGTTATTACAGTCTGGGGCATCTCTACATAGGCAGGATAACAGTGGTGACAGTGCCTATCACTATGCTGTTAGATTTGAACCTAAGTGTATACCGGTAAGTTCAAGTGTGAGGAGTTTAAAATACTTTTATTTCTGTGGATTTATTATTTGTGGGGTCAGCTTTTGTGAAGTTTTGTTGGTACAGGTGAACCACAAATTAATCAAGTTGTCCAACAATATACAATTTTTTATTATAGACTTATACGAGAATTATTCAAAACCAAATTATCCAGTATCTGAGAAAATGCAAAAAAATAGTTTGATAAATTAGGTTCCTTACACAAAATGAGATGGTACTATTTGAAAGGAATTTGCTCTTCATCTTCGTACTTTATTTGACCTTTTCAACATTTTCTTATTCAAGCGTCACTGATGAGTCTTTTGTAAACCAAACGTGCATCTGGCGCAAATACAAAATTTCAATCCTGGTATCTATGATGAGTTTATTTGCCCCCTAAATAGTATGTATACCAAACTATCTTAAATTTTTAAAGATTTATTTGTTGAAAATATGTATTTCAAGAAATTATTAATTTGGTTACACAGATCATCATACAATACTGGACTGTTTAAAGCACACATTCATAGAAATATTATAGGGCACGACACAACCATCATACAATACCTGGACTGTGTAAAGCACACATTCATAGAAATAGGGCATGACACAACCATCATACAATACTGGACTGTTTAAAGCGCACATTCATAGAAATAGGGCATGACACAACCATTATACAATACGTGGACTGTGTAAAGCACACATTCATAGAAATAGGGCATGACACAACCATCATACATTACCTGGACTGTGTAAAGTACACATTCATAGAAATAGGGCATGACACAACCATCATACAATACCTGGACTGTGTAAAGCACACATTCAAAGAAATATTATAGGGCATGACACAACCATCATACAATACCTGGACTGTGTAAAGCACACATTCATAGAAATATTATAGGGCATGACACAACCATCATACAATACTTGGACACTGTAAAGCACACATTCATAGAAATAGGGCATGACACAACCATCATACAATACCTGGACTGTGTAAAGCACACATTCATAGAAATAGGGCATGACACAACCATCATACAATACTGGACTGTTTAAAGCACACATTCATAGAAATATTATAGGGCATGACACAACCATCATACAATACTGGACTGTTTAAAGCACACATTTATAGAAATAGGGCATGACACAACCATCATAAAATACTGGACTGCTAAAGCACAAATTCATAGAAATAGGGCATGACACAACCATCATACAATACCTGGACTGTGTAAAGCACACATTCATAGAAATAGGGCATGACACAACCATCATACAATACTGGACTGTGTAAAGCACACATTCATAGAAATAGGGCATGACACAACCATCATACAATACCTGGACTGTGTAAAGCACACATTCATAGAAATATTATAGGGTACGACACAACCATCATACAATACTGGACTGTTTAAATCACACATTTATAGAAATAGGGCATGACACAACCATCATACCATACCTGGACTGTGTAAAGCACACATTCATAGAAATATTATAGGGCATGAAACAAGCATCATACAATACCTGGACTGTGTAAAGCACACATTCATAGAAATAGGGCATGACACAACCATCATACAATACCTGAACTGTGTAAAGCACACATTCATAGAAATATTATAGGGCACGACACAACCATCATACAATATCGGACTGTTTAAAGCACACATTCATAGAAATAGGGCATGACACAACCATCATACAATACCTGGACTGTGTATAGCACACATTCATAGAAATATTATAGGGCATGACACAACCATCATACAATACTGGACTGTGTAAAGCACACATTCATAGAAATAGGGCATGACACAACCATCATACAATACTGGACTGTTTAAAGCGCACATTCATAGAAATAGGGCATGACACAACCATCATACAATACGTGGACTGTGTAAAGCACACATTCGTAGAAATAGGGCATGACACAACCATCATACATTACCTGGACTGTGTAAAGTACACATTCATAGAAATAGGGCATGACACAACCATCATACAATACCTGGACTGTGTAAAGCACACATTCAAAGAAATATTATAGGGCATGACACAACCATCATACAATACCTGGACTGTGTAAAGCACACATTCATAGAAATATTATAGGGCATGACACAACCATCATACAATACTTGGACACTGTAAAGCACACATTCATAGAAATAGGGCATGACACAACCATCATACAATACCTGGACTGTGTAAAGCACACATTCATAGAAATAGGGCATGACACAACCATCATACAATACTGGACTGTTTAAAGCACACATTCATAGAAATATTATAGGGCATGACACAACCATCATACAATACTGGACTGTTTAAAGCACACATTTATAGAAATAGGGCATGACACAACCATCATAAAATACTGGACTGCTAAAGCACAAATTCATAGAAATAGGGCATGACACAACCATCATACAATACCTGGACTGTGTAAAGCACACATTCATAGAAATAGGGCATGACACAACCATCATACAATACTGGACTGTGTAAAGCACACATTCATAGAAATAGGGCATGACACAACCATCATACAATACCTGGACTGTGTAAAGCACACATTCATAGAAATAGGGCATGACACAACCATCATACAATACTGGACTGTTTAAAGCACACATTTATAGAAATAGGGCATGACACAACCATCATAAAATACTGGACTGCTAAAGCACAAATTCATAGAAATAGGGCATGACACAACCATCATACAATACCTGGACTGTGTAAAGCACACATTCATAGAAATAGGGCATGACACAACCATCATACAATACTGGACTGTGTAAAGCACACATTCATAGAAATAGGGCATGACACAACCATCATACAATACCTGGACTGTGTAAAGCACACATTCAAAGAAATATTATAGGGCATGACACAACCATCATACAATACCTGGACTGTGTAAAGCACACATTCATAGAAATATTATAGGGCATGACACAACCATCATACAATACTTGGACACTGTAAAGCACACATTCATAGAAATAGGGCATGACACAACCATCATACAATACCTGGACTGTGTAAAGCACACATTCATAGAAATAGGGCATGACACAACCATCATACAATACTGGACTGTTTAAAGCTCACATTCATAGAAATAGGGCATGACACAACCATCATACAATACTGGACTGTTTAAAGCACACATTCATAGAAATAGGGCATGACACAACCATCATAAAATACTGGACTGCTAAAGCACAAATTCATAGAAATAGGGCATGACACAACCATCATACAATACTGGATTTTTTAAAGCACACATTCATAGAAATAGGGCATGACACAACCATCATACAATACCTGGACTGTGTAAAGCACACATTCATAGAAATAGGGCATGACACAACCATCATACAATACCTGGACTGTGTAAAGCACACATTCATAGAAATAGGGCATGACACAACCATCATACAATACCTGGACTGTGTAAAGTACACATTCATAGAAATAGGGCATGACACAACCATCATACAATACCTGGACTGTGTAAAGCACACATTCATAGAAATATTATAGGGCACGACACAACCATCATACAATACTGGACTGTTTAAATCACACATTTATAGAAATAGGGCATGACACAACCATCATACAATACCTGGACTTGTGTAAAGCACACATTCATAGAAATATTATAGGGCATGAAACAACCATCATACAATACCTGGACTGTGTAAAGCACACATTCATAGAAATAGGGCATGACACAACCATCATACAATACCTGAACTGTGTAAAGCACACATTCATAGAAATATTATAGGGCACGACACAACCATCATACAATACTGGACTGTTTAAAGCACACATTCATAGAAATAGGGCATGACACAACCATCATACAATACCTGGACTATGTAAAGCACACATTCATAGAAATATTATAGGGCATGACACAACCATCATACAATACTGGACTGTGTAAAGCACACATTCAAAGAAATAGGGCATGACACAACCATCATACAATACCTGGACTGTTTAAAGCACACATTCATAGAAATAGGGCATGACACAACCATCATACAATACCTGGACTGTGTAAAGTACACATTCATAGAAATAGGGCATGACACAACCATCATACAATACTGAACTGTTTAAAGCACACATTCATAGAAATAGGGCATGACACAACCATCATATAATACTGGACTGTTTAAAGCACACATTCATAGAAATAGGGCATGACACAACCATCATACAATACCTGGACTGTGTAAAGCACACATTCATAGAAATAGGGCATGACACAAACATCATACAATACCTGGACTGTGTAAAGCACACATTCATAGAAATAGGACATGACACAACCATCATACAATACCTGGACTGTGTAAAGCACACATTCATAGAAATAGGGCATGACACAACCATCATATAATACTGGACTGTTTAAAGCACAAATTCATAGAAATATTATAGGGCATGACACAACCATTATCCAAAAACATACAAGAGAAATATAATTTGTAAATACAGTCGAAACTCATTATGTGGAACTCGTTTTGTTGAAAACTCTGATGAGTCAAAGTAATTACTCGGTCCCAGTAAAATTCCAGTTTGATCAATGCATGATTACCTCTGATGAGTCGAACTCGGTTGATTCGAATACTCAGTTAAGTCAAGTAAATTTTATAGTCCCGTCGATGTATAATTAAGGTAAATTGACCCCCATGTCTCGAAGTTCGAAAGTAAAAACTTTCGAAAGATGCAGACCTTATGATAAAAATTCAAGTCAGATGTATTTCTTATGTAACCTAATCATTTTCAAAAGAGATTAAAGCTAAGTAAACATACTTGTTTGTATAACAGTTAAAATGACATGTACATGATGACAGGTAATTAACACCTTTGTTGATCGTCCAAGTGGAACGTTAGTGTGTTGAACATATTTCACCTGATATAAAAACGAAACAAATGTGATTGACCCAAGCCGAGATTAAATGAATCGTTAGAATTAAAATTCATTAATTACAATAAATAAAGTTAAAACAGTTATGATAAATTTATAATAATTTAGCATAAAGCAGACGACCTCATCAGAGACCGTTTAGATCTTGTTCGTTCCGCGAGTGATTTCATAAATAAAAAATGACTGACTTTTGTAAATACTTGTGTTTACTATTGATTTTTTTTGTGCATGATTTGTATCTGTACTTGTGTGTTTAATTATTAAGAAGGACCAAAATATAGAGATTGAATAAACAATCATAAAGTGTCATATCGAAAAAAGGCATACTGTTCAAAGTATCTAGTTTACACAAATCTCATACAGTATTTCATGCATTCCAATTTTATGACGACACACTCCACCTCGGATGAGTCGCGGATAAGTCGAATACTTTGGTCCGGTCCCTTTGACTTCGACATAACAAGGTTCGACTGTATGAAAATTTGTAAACCATTTTATACAATATTTTTATTTAATTTTTGTTATAGATCCTTTCTCAGTATGATAGAGATGGTGTTAAAGACTTCTACAATAATAAGGGACAAACAGCACTATACATGGCATGTGAAAAGGGCATGCCTGATGCTGTCGAAGAACTTCTTAAGGCAGGGGTTAGGCCAGATATCTCAGCATGTGACATGTTGCCTATACATGTAGCTATGAAAACAAATAACATTAGGTATTAAAATTTGTATGTAATTTTCTCTTATAAAGAAATCCATGTAATTTAATTTTATAGTTGGTTTTAATCTTGCATATGATTGAAAAATCAAGGAACAATGTACATACATATTACTTATCCTGCAAATTGATTATAACAATTTGAACATTGATTATAACAATTTGAACATAATCTCAATATTTTGACTTTCACCTATAGCTAGTATAACCAAATTTTGTATGGATGTTGTTAATGATGAGACTTTAAAGCAAGCAATTGTCACCAGACCTTGTACCCATTGGCTGAAGAAGATAGGTTAAGTTTTCAAAAAAAGAACAAGAGTTTTGGCAAATCCTAATAAGTAAAGCTTTGACAAAGGAACTGTATTGTAATCAGATTGTGAAAACAACATAAATTCTGCCCTATACAAAAAGTTTAGCTTAAAAGAATAATTGCACATTTTTTTCTTTGTTTAGAAATTTAGAGCTAATATGTGAGAAGCATGTGGGCCAATTATTTGCTAAAGATCATAAATATGGAGGGACACCTGCTCATTGGGTGAGAAAGAGAGAGGTAGGTTATATAGATCATTATTGTCTACCTTAATTCATGGTACATGATGACTGAACATAGATTTGAATTATTTTAGCAGTCCAATGTTTAAGAATTAAGCCCTGAAAAGATCCATATTAAAAACAAATTAAAAAAACTTGTAGGTAAATTGATGTCTTTTGATGGAATTCAGTTTATTTTCTGCTATAGGAGTGACAATACACAAAAGGACATGATGTACTACAAAGTTTTTGAAAGCATATAAAAAATATGCTATCAAAAACTTTGTGGTACAACATGTCCTCTTGTGTATTATCACTCTTTTAGCAAAGTGAAAATCAGGGGTGAATTGTAATTTGCAGGAAATCTGCTCTTACATTGAATAGTGTTATCATAGGAAGGCTACAAAAATACTGGTCTTATATAAGAAAATGCCTAACAGGAAGTGACTTCAGAAGTGGAAAACTCCTTTATTCCCAACAACCATGAAAACTCCTTTATTCCTAAAAACCATGAAAACTTGTTGTTTTTTAAATTCAAATGTTATGTAATGTGACAGAGTTCTGCTGCATTAATAAGATTTTGAATTATGTCTGCATATATGATAAAATATCTATGTCTGAGGCCATTTTTCATGGTATCAAAAAAGTAATACACAGAAATTAAATGGGATGGTATACTTGTTTACCACTATCCATTCATCCTTCCATCTGTCAGTCCCATAAAGTTTTCGCTGTATATTTCTCCGAGACTACAAATCAGAGCTTTCTAAAATTAAATTTCAAGCTTCATGTTAACAAGCTATATTGTATACTGCATTTCCACCGTTCGATGAGATGGTACCTGAGAAACCCTTATTCATTTTCAAAACCATAGATAATCTATAAACATGTCTGAATCTGAATCTTAAGGAAATATATAATTTTTAGGTTGCAGAAAGGTTGCTTAAACTAGGATGTGATGTGAACATAGCTAGTGACACAGGACATACTCCTTTACATGTTATGTTGAAAAAAGATAGGAGAGATTGTATTATGGAACTATTGGTACATGGAGCTGATACAAGAGCTGGAGATGTGTATGGGAATACACCACTGCATGTAGCTATTCAGGTAATACATCATTAAGGTCAAGTTACAGTAAATGGGCTATGTCACAGATTTTTCTAAAAATTTTCATACAACTTATGCTCGTTAAACTATAACTGAAAATTGAAAAAAATAATATATTTATCTCTTTTATTATCTAAAATATTACTGATTGAATTCTTTCAAAATAGGTTAACATTAGTATAGAAAGCACATAAAATCAGCGAAAAACCTACTTAAATTTGTCTTAAAATCATCAAATCTCCAATTTCTAATACATAGATTTTTCTGAAAAAAACTATATGTTGTTGATACATACATAAATTTTTGTTTTATTGATATAAAATAATCATGTGGTCATGACTTCGTTTTTTTGTCTAATAATCAATCTGTTACCTATTGGGTAGTGAAAAAAGTCAAAAATTGACGTTTTACAGACTGCAACGCTATGACGTTACTATTATTTCGACGTTTTGTGGTATTTTTTCACATAGAATACCACTTTGAATGATGTGTAAAAACGAAGGCCATGGTCCTATCAATATTTTACCACACTAAAACGGAAATTTATGTATCAACCACATACAGTTTAAAAAAAAAATTCTTTGAATTAGAAATTGGAGACTTGATTTTAACATTTAACATCAGACAATTAAAACAAACATATAACAATTAAAATCATAAAACTATAACTGATAATATTCAACACCAAACAACTAAAACTAATTACATTTGACATCAGACATATACAACTGATTACATTTGACATCAGACATCTGAAATTAGATATTTTGAACATCAGAAAACTGAAACTGATTACCCAAGTTCATTTAACACCAGACAACTGAAACTAATTACATACAACATCAACATCAACAACTGAAACTGATTGACTTTCACTTCAGACAATTCAAACTGTTCACATTTAAACCAGACAACTGAAACTGATTACATTTGATATCAGACAACTTACACTGATTACATTTGATATCAGACAACTTACACTGATTACATTTGATATCAGACAACTAAAACTGATTACATTTGACACCAGACAACTTAAACTAATTACATTTGACATCAGACACCTTAAACTGATAACTATGAACATCAGAAAACTAAAACTGTTTACACTTAACATCAGACAACTCAAACTATTTACACTTGTCTTTAGACATCTCAAACGGATTACATTTGACATTAGACAACTAAAACTGTTCTCATTTACATTGGGCAACTAAAACTGATTACATTTGACATAAGACAATTAAAACTAATTACATTTGACATCAGACATATAAAATGATAACATTTGACATTAGACATCTGAAACTGGATATATTTATCGTCAGACAACTGACACTGATGACATTTAATATCAGACAACTGTAACTAGTTACCTTTAACATTAACAACTGAAACTAATTAATTTTGATATCAGACAACTGAAACTAATCACATTCACACCAGACAACTAAAGCTGATTACACTGAGCATCAGACTAAAACTGATTACTTTTGACATCAGACAACTGAAATTGGTTACATTTGTCACTAGCCAAATTGAATTGATCTCATTTGACAGGAGACAACTAAAACACAACACTTTTGACATCAGACAACTAAAGCAGATTACATTTGACATCAAATAACTAAAATGGATTACATTTGACATTGTGCTTTCTATACAAATGTTCACCTATTTTAAAAGAAATCACTCAGTAATATTTCAGATAATAAAAGAGATGAATTTATTATTTTTTCGATTTCCAGTTCAAAGTTTGATGTGCCAAAGTTGTATGCAAAATTTTAGCAAAATCTGTGACATAGCCCATTTACTGTTCCTTGACCTTAAATTAACTGGAGAGTTGAGCTGATACAAGAGCTGGAGATATGTATGGGAATACACCATTGCATGTATCTATTCAGGTAATACATCATAGAATTAACTGGAGAGTTAAACTGATTCAAATCCTTGAGATATGTTTAGTAATGTTGTAAACATGGATATTTTTTAGGGTTGTTATTTTTATGATTTCAATGCATAAACCTTTTGCGAGGGAGTTAACTTCTTACATCAGTGGCAAGTATGCATTTCACATCAATATTGTTGCTTTCTACAACATAATCATAAATTAAGGAAACAAGTTTATGATACATAACACTAAATCTATATGTTTCACCATTTGTTTGCATAGCTAGCTGTATTTATTTATTTATTTATATGTATTTATTATATTAAATTTTGAGTTGTAAACTGGACAGTTGAGCTGATCTAATCCTTCAGATATGTATAGTAACTTACATTGCTACAGGTAATCATAAAATTAACTGGAAAGTTCAGATGATTCAAATCCTTGAGATGTTATAGTTATACACCACTATAAATTAATAACTGTTCAGGTAATCATAGAGTTACATGAGCTAATGTTGAATGGAGCTGATTCAAATGTATGAGATATGAATGATAATAATACACTACATAAAAGTGTTCAAATAATCATATAATGACTGGTGAGTGAACCTGATTCACAGGCTTGAGATTGATATAGTGATTCATGTTCAGGTAATCATAGAGTGATTGGTGAGTTGATCTGATTCACAGGCTGGAGATTGATATAGTGATTCATCTCTACATATATCAGTTCAGGCAATCATAGAGTGATTGGTGAGTTGATCTGATTCACAGGTTGGAGATTGATATAGTGATTCATCTCTACATATAGCTGTTCAGGTAATCATAGAGTGATTGGTGAGTTGATCTGATTCACAGGTTGGAGATTAATATAGTGATTCATCTCTACATATAGCTGTTCAGGTAATTATAGAGTGATTGGTGAGTTGATCTGATTCACAGGTTGGAGATTGATATAGTGATTCATCTCTACATATAGCTGTTCAGGTAATCATAGAGTGATTGGTGAGTTGATCTGATTCACAGATTGGAGATTGATATAGTGATTCATCTCTACATATAGCTATTCAGGTAATCATAGAGTGATTGGTGAGTTGAAGCTAGATGTAGTTGATGCATTTGACTTCAGGGAAAGAGTCATCATGTTACCAGTGAATGGTAACTTACACAGGTTCATTATGTGTTGTTTATACATATAGCAGTTAAGGAAATGAAACAAGGTGAGAACATAGTTTATAACTAAGTTGAAATTGATCTTTTAATTAGCTTTCATTAACTGTGAGTACTCGTAGATTAGTATGTTGTGTCTTTTTGTTATTTGTTTTTGTCTTTTGTACTGATCTGACGAGTCAAGTCCTTTCCAACTGATTTTGACTGTTTTTCCTTATTTTGTGTTGCTACACCACTGTTTCAGATGTTGGAGAGTGTTCAGGGCAAGGGTTGAACTCTCACAAATTTGTTAAACCTTCTTCATCTGCCTGTCCCAAGCCAGACTAATCCTGTAATCCAGTGGTTGTCCTATGTTCTGTCTCTCATATTTACTTTTAGTTCATTGTAGTATATATATCAGGCTGTTAGTTTTATCTTTTGATTATTTCCTATTTTTAATACTGGGACATTTTACAGCTTATATTTACCATATGGTATGGGTTTTGCTCATGGCTGAAGGCTGAACAGTGTTCAATAACTGTTCACATCTTTGTCCATTGGTCTTTATGGATATTTATCTTATTGGCAACTATACCACATCTACTTACATTTATAAGGGTTTACTAATGCTAACTCTGATACACAAAAATTGCTATAGTTCATAGTGTGAAATAATGTCTTGGTGTTTTTAAACTGTAAGAGGTAGATTTCTTAGAAAACATGACTTTATGAGATAAGTTTGAATCAGCGCCTAAACCAGTGTTTATAAAAGTTCATGTAGATGTGTAGAATTTGATGTAAACTGCTAAAGTACTGTGACTGCATTTAATGTTCATATTTACATTCAACCAATCAGATTTAGTGAATCTTTTATCGATTTTTGTGGTTGATAGTTAATTCATTGGTATATTTTTTCTTGTAGAATGATGATGTAGAATTTGTCCGGTTGTTTATAGTGTTTGGAGCTGATGTCAACATGAAAAACAAGGCAGGCCAAACACCAAGACATTTAGCTTCTGTTTCAAAAGAAAAGAATAAGTAAGCCATGAACAATACAGAATTAAATCATATGGTTCATTCACTTATAGTCCAGATTTTTAAAATGTTTATCTTATTGACTTCAAGCAGATAAATGGTTGGTCAAGGATACAAAGTTGCATCTAAATGATTAATGTGTATTTTTCAGGAACATCCTTTTTTTTTAGTAAAAGAATAGTTTTTTATACTGAAAACCAGTGAATAAAATCTAAGTGATTTTTGGAAAATAACATGTATGAATGGAATTGATATTGTTAAGTATTATTTAATACACATGGGTTATGGAAAAAGAATGAGTTGAAAGATCAGCTGACCTTATAAAAGATTAGGTATACCTTCCAGTGGTGTGAGAAATTCTGTATAAGAATAAGGACAACAGATTTTGTACTACTGACATAAGTGAACAATATACAAAACTTTAATTTAGAAAAATATCAGAACCTATATCTATCAAATGAGAGGACTTGTAACTTCGCCTGAAAACAAATTGAAATCTTCTGTGACAGTGTTGATGGAGATTTCAAATAATAATGAATAGTTTTATTGTGGTTTCAACTTAAATGTAAAATCAGTATGAAATAATGGCTAATTTAAATATTGAGTATGGATATTTAGGAAAGTTTAAGAGTCAGTATGTAGGCCACAGTCTAATTATAACCTTATCTCTCTTTTTATATAAGCATGTTTAAAGTTGCACAAAAGAAAACTACAGAAATGAAATAAATTTACACCAAACATGTACATGTATTAACATAATTTCTGGCAACTATAAGGTTAATTTGATATTTTTTTAGAGCTGTTAAAATATTTTGTACCAGTAATTGTGGAAATCAATATTATTAAGGTAAAGCAGTTTGGTTTAGATGACTTGACATTATATCTACTTCACTTCCACCATAGCAATTTTTGGTGAATTTTTGTCCGAGTTCAGTTTCCAGTTAAAAAATATTAAACTAACAATCAAATAAATTGTAAATAGAGATGCAACTAGAAAAGTGAAAAAGCTTCCTAACTAACTTAAGTTTATCTGACCTCTATTTTCTGATTCAGTGACCTTGATTTATTCAGATCTTAGATTCTAAGTGATCTACAATTATACAACTTGGTGTAAAGAACAAATAGTGGTAGTAGCGTTGATTAATGAGTTATCTTTCTAAGGGTGACTGGTGATTTATTAAGACATTATCCACATGAAAGATGTTGACTTAAGACTCAGTATTTGTATAGATACTGTAACTTTCAAGATGGACATAACCAAAAATACTGTAGCACATATATATATATATATATATATATATACAACTCGTCTAAACATCAGCCCAACAATGTTAGATCTGTAAATTTGCTTTCGCAAATTTTTAGTTCTTCCCTCGCCGGGATTCGAACTCATGCTACTGAGATATCGTGACACCAATTCGCCTGCACTGTATCCGACGCGCTAGACCTTCCGACCACCTAGGCTTCACTATAATAAAGCTTTCGGTGGCCGGGTGTTACCTTTCCTCGTCAGTTTTAATCTAGCGTCGTAATACAGTACATGATATATAAGGCATGAAGATGGAATAGTTACAGATCAGCTGAAATATCTATTGTAAAGGATCCTACAAATTAATGCAAGATACAGTCACAGAAATAATTATATTTATAAGTACGTCTGAACCAGTGACAACTCTACAACAGATTTATCCATCGGATCACCAGCAGTGATGGTGATACATGGCTGTGTACATTCTGTATATACAACTCGTCTAAACATCAGCCCAACAATATATATATATATATATATACATAGTTATTTTCAAGTAAGTGTATAACATTTGCAAAAAATGTATATCTTCTTGAAGTACTTTCTTTAGATGATAACAGTATACTTTGTTTCAGGGACACAATTCTATACATGTTACACATATGTGGTGCTAGACGGTGTGGACACACAACTAAAGGCTGTTGTAAAGGATGTGTAATGGAAGGATCATATGACGGCACTGCTGATGACGCAATGAAAAGTGTGTTGACTATTGATAGGGAAGGTAAATACAGAAACTTATCTGAGTGGAACTAAATACAATAATGCTATGTTCTTCCTCAATGCTGTTGTGCAAATCCAACTTTAGGTATTATTTATAACATCAGAAACCTGTCAATAGAAGTAAAAAGATTTAGGATTCTTCACCTGTTAGTACATTTTTAAGGAATTTTGCAATGAAAAAATTGGGTTTTAGAAATAAACAATTTTAAACCAAGAAAATTAATTATAGTTGGAAAGGTAAATTTTATTGGACAACTGTTTATGTATTGACATATGTTTTGTAGCTATTGTAGATGAAATGTTGTCATCATTTAAAGATCCAGACCAAGATGTTGACACCACAAGTAGTTTAGATAAACACAGGGTAGGTTTAAGATACCACAAGTAGTTTAGATAAACACAGGGTATGTTTAAGACATCACATGCAGTTTAGATAAACACAGGGTAGGTTTAAGACATCACAAGTAGTTTAGATAAACACAGGGTAGGTTTAAGACATCACATGATGTTTAGGTTAACACAGGGTAGGTAAAAGACATCACATGTAGTTTAGATAAACACAGGGTAGGTTTAAGACATCACATGTAGTTTAGTTAAACACAGGGTAGGTTTAAGACATCACATGTAAAGATAAACACAGGGTAGGTTTAAGACATCACATGTAGTTTAGATAAACACAGGGTAGGTTTAAGACACCACAAGTAGTTAAGATAAACACAGGTAGGTTTAAGACACCACAAGTAGTTTGGATAAACACAGGGTAGGTTTAAGTCACCACAAGTAGTTTAGATAAACAAAGGGTAGGTTTAAGACATCACATGTAGTTTAGATTAACACAGGGTAGGTTTAACATCAAAGTAAAGAAATGTTTTGGATTAAACTTCTTGTTGTGTTGATGGGTGTACTGAGTGGATTACATTTTATGTTGTATTTATGAGTGTACATTACATTTTATGTTGTATATATGAGTGTACAGTGTGGATTAAATTTCATGTGGTATTAATGGGTGTACTTTGTGGATTAAATCTCATGTTGTATTAATGGGTGTACTGTGTGGATTAGATTTCATGTTGTGTTAACTTTTCCTGTTGTAATGATGGGTGTATTGTTATATTTCATGTCATGTGTGACTTGGTGTACTCTATGAAATGTATATTCATGTTTGGTTAATAGGTGCATGTATAATATGTTACTTAATGTTTTGAGAATAGGTGTAGTCTAAGAAATAATATTTCATTTTTCAGAAAATCCTTATAACAATAATATTGCATGTGTCAGAAAATCATAGTAAAAAATAACATTTCTAATGGGTGTAATCTTCATTTTTCAGAAAGTCCTAAAAAAAAAATTGACTGATCACTCTCATTGAAGTTACACAGATTAACATTTATGACTATATTGTGTATAAAAGTGTGAATATGTACAGGTCAATACAAAAGCATATAAGCTCACAATATTTAAAAGTTTACTTCAATCTTATTTGTAGGTATTGTGCCTAGATGGAGGAGGAATAAGAGGTCTGATATTAGTACAGCTATTAATAGCTATTGAAGATGTTGCGGGGATTCCTATAAAGGATTGTTTTGATTGGATATCAGGAACCAGTACTGGTGGTTTACTGGCTTTAGGGATAGCAACAGGTTCGTGAATTAATTTATCTATTAAACAATTAAGAAGTCATTGTGATGCCAATTTCTGAAATTTTTTTAGAAATATGATATATATTTCTAAAGCGTTTGACCTCTAAAAACAATTAATAGCAATAAATATTAAGATTTTTCTTTACATAAAGACTAATGGGCACCTGATATCCTATTTCTCGAACTAAAGCAGTAGTAGTAGGTGAAATGACAACTTGATTTCTTTTTCATTTATTTTAAAAGAAGTTTTATTTTACTGTTAATTTATTTTTTATTGAGGAATTGAGATTGCCATATTTCCATATTCACACAGCCCATGGTCATATTTTGGACATATTGTGTCAAGTTTGCCATATTTCCACATTCACACAGCCAATGGTAATGTTTTTGGACCTTTTGTGTCCAGTTGCCATATTTTGATATTCACACAGCCCATGGTCATATTTTTGGACCTATTGTGTCAAATTTAGAATTATGATGATAAACTGTGACATCAAACACATTCTGCTTTTAAAATTTTAAGAATATCAAAAGACCTTTTTATACAAAGCAAAAGCAGCACTTCAAAGTAAAGATTTTTTTTCTTTTCCAACCTCTTAACCATACATATACTTGATTTACATTTAGGTAAACCACTGGCTTACATGAAAGGATTATATGTTAGACTAAAGGATGAAGTATTTAAAGGTTCCAGACCATATCCTGCTGAATCATTTGAGGCCATGTTGAAGAAAGAACTGGGAGAAACTAAAGTCATGACAGATATTAAAGGACCAAAGTAAATATATATAATGATAAGCCTTGATACCATATGTATTATGTAGGAGTTCAATACCTGAAAATTTATTTTGTTTTAGTTCTTTTTTCCAGCATAATAATATATATAGCAGCAACTTTCTTTTTATTTGAATATAAAATACAAGTATTTTTTTCAGAGTGCATATAGAGATAAACCAACCTTATCTTTGTAAGGTGTACGATTTACTGTAATATGAAAAATATGGTATGCTTCAGTGAAATTGTGATTTGACAATAGATGTTTGAATAAAAAGGTCAGCAAATAGCTTAACAAGTTGAAATTTGTATATTATTATAGTCTCTGAATTGCATTGGCGTACTATCAGTTGTCAAAAATTTAAAGAAATAACAAATTTTTAACAATAATGCTGTCAAACAAAAAAACAACAAGTTACTAAAGAAGTCTATGACATGGATTTCAGGCATTGGCATGGTAGGAGTACTCACATGAAACATATCACTTTATTCAAACCACTGCCAGTTGCTGGCCATTCATGTTTCAGGTTAAATGTAGGTGTAGAAAGGGTTAAAGCAGTATGATATTAGCAGGAAGAGCAGAAAGGCTGAAAATCTCATGAAATTTTACCAATTAAAACATTTCCAATAATTATATTCTTACAGAGTGCTAGTGACTGGAGTTTTAGCAGACAGACATCCTTCACAGTTACATTTCTTTAGAACATACCATCCTACTCTTCAGACATACGAGGATGAAACCCATCCTAAAGACAGAGTAAGACCACCTCCGCCTCATGGTAAGAACAAGTATTTACCAGTTCATACACAGATAAACTATACAATTTCTATATATTACAAGAGAATGGAAGTTTTTGGAACAAAACTTGACAGAGATATTTCATAGCACAAGCAGCCTCTTATTTTATCTCTTCACCAAAAGGATGTTTTCAGGTTTTCCATAGCAAAATTAAAACTGAAGCATTCTAAATTTAAAAAAGATTGTGAATGCAATATCTCCTTCAGTTTTCATCTAATTGATTTGAAGAAGGAGAAAGACTTGACAAATTTTCTTCATCACATTTGTAGCTGTGTTCAGATCACATAATTGTTTTTTCAGTTGCTGTCATATTTAAACTAAAAAACAAAAAAGTGTGCTGGAAATAGAGAAATATTCAGACTTCTCATGAAAAATTTTCATTGTTTAAGTTATCCTAATGTCCTAAGTTGTGTGATACTGGAATTTTCTCCAGGATCGATATAAGAGGTTATAAATAACCGTAATAAGTTTGTGTATTTAAACTCTCTTTGCATGATTCAACCTGAATTTGGAAATTGCATGCTTAATTTTGATAAAGTGGCAAATGTCAAAATGCTGGGTCAGATCAAGTTGACATCACATGTTCATAAGATAATTATATTTTTCAGAGCAGTTAGTGTGGGAGGCAGCCAGATCTAGTGGTGCGGCACCAACATACTTCAAACAAGCTAGAGCATTTGTAGATGGTGGTATGATATCAAATAACCCAACTCTTGACACACTTACAGAAATCCATGAATATAACTGTGGGCTCAAACTTAGAGTAAGTTATTTTAATGGATATTCTGTATCAATAGTATATTTTGACATCACAATGTCTACAAACTTTGATTTAAACCTTTTACATGATATGCAGCTTAGAGTTGCTCACGAATACTTTTTCAAAAGTATTTATCGTTTTTCTCTTTTTTTTAGCATACCTTTAATGTTCACAGTATCAAGCATGCAAATCTGATATATGACAAAATATTGTGTAATGGATTATTTTTGCATTTGTGCACAATTTCTAAACCATTACAACATAAATCATCAGTTTGTTTCAGTTTTGTTCAGAGGTATTTAAAAAATGTATGTTCTTTAAACCAAAATTGCTTGAATGAAAGTAGAGTTAATTTAAGGTTGAATCACCAGATGCAACCTGTTTCAACACCTTAAAAAGCTAGTGGTCAATTATTTTTTGCAAACTGACCAGTTGCAAATAAATAATGTTGCATACTGTGCTGCTGACAAATAGAAATCCTACAAACTGTTTTGGTCGAGCCTGCAACTTTTTGTCGCAAAAGCAAGACATAGCGATCCTACATTCCATCGGCGTCGGCGGCCACAAATATTCACTCTGTGGTTAAAGTTTTTGAAATTTTAATAACTTTCTTAAACTATCCTGGATTTCTACCAAACTTGGACAGAAGCTTGTTTATAATCATAAGATAGTATCCAGAAGTAAATTTTGTAAAAAAAAATCCTGTTTATCCGTATTTTACTTATAAATGGACTTAGTTTTTCTGCCAGTTAACATTACATTCACTCTGTGGTTAAAGTTTTCAAAATTTAAATAACTTTCTTAAACTATCCTGGATTTGTACCAAACTTGGACAGAAGCTTGTTTATGATCAAAAGCTAGTATCTAGAAGGAAATTTTGTAAAAATTTATTTCCTGTTTTTCTGTATATTACTTATAAATGGACTTAGTTTTTCTTCCAGTTAACATTACATACAGTCTGCAGTTAAAGTTTTTAAAACATTTATTAGATTCATAAACCATCCTAGATTTTTACCAAACTTGGACAGAAGCTTCTTACAATCAAAAGATAGTATCTAGAGGAAAATTTTTAATAGTTTTTCCCCATTTTTGTTGAGCCTGCGACTAACAGCAAAAGTAGGCGAGACACTGGGTTATGCAGAACCCTTACGAATTTTTCTGTTTATTATAGAATGAAGGCCATCTTATCAAATCAATTGGATGTGTTGTATCCTTAGGCACAGGCAGGATACCAGTTATACCAGTAGAAAGTGTAGATGTTTTTAGACCTGAAGGGATTTTTGATGTAAAACGGGTTGTAACTGGATTTACTGGTCTAGTTAATATGATGATTGATCAGGTATAGTAAAAATCTTTTAGTTGATTTAAAAAATTTGTACAGAAACCTTTTTATTGAAAGATTTATTCTGTCTCTGCTATAAATCTATTATAGCTTTATAGTTGTAATTGAGCATTGTAGATATTTCACTTTTAGCTCTCTTTGTCCAAATGGCAAATGCTAGCTTTTGCTGTCACTTGACATCTATCTTCTGTTATCCCCAAGTAACCTTACAAATTTTTACCCTATTCAGAATATAAAACTTCGTACATGATTCAATCCTAATATTCAGATGTACATGTGGGTATGATTTTTTTTATTGTTTATAGTTTATTTGAAATTAAGCCTTTTTCAGAACAGGCATTGTTATGGCTACTCCTATGGCTAAACATGGTTTATTGTATCTATAAGAAACTTAGCTTATTGTTAGATCCTAATGTGCAGATGTGCATGACAGTAGGATCTTCCCATCCATAGAGAGTCATGCCTGTTTCAACTTAGAAAATTTGGCCCTGTCCAGTACTGATCTTACTTTACAATTCCTCCTACATGTTTTATTGAAGCTACACATAATTATAGATTATCAATGGTTTTTCAAAGGAGAGGGTGTTTCTCCGCTACAATCTCATCAAAGGGCGACATCCTTGAGTTTGAAAGATAGTCTGTTTATCACTGTTTTCCTAGGCAGCGTCAACGATGTAAGATCATGACGTTATACATTCACTTTCTACTCAACTAAGAAAAACCTATATCACTGGAGAAGCATTATATGAAAAATTATCACAAAAAAAGATTAAAGCAATATTTCAGAAAACAATGATAACTTGGTATATTGTTAGATCCTAATATGTAAATATGTAGGATCTACATGCATCTGAGACAACATCAAATAAAAAACAAGAAAAAGTCCAAATTTATATTATCAACTTCTTTGTATCCCTGTATTTCAGTTACTAGTTTACTCAAAGGTCAATCCCGGATGTGCGGAGTGTAAGTCCAGTTTAGCGAACAGTTCTAGTTTTGATTGGCTTATCATTAAACACCTTCACATTGAATATTTTGCAGCAATGTTTGAGCAATGATTAGAATAAATATTTCTTGGTAAATTTAAATTAATTTACCGCTATATTTATTTGGCAGTCTCAACTCTTTACATAGAATCTGTATGGACCTTACTTATGAGCTTGGAGGTGTTTTTTTTTATTTGTAAACTATATATATATATAAGCCAGCAGTTTTTAAAACTCTGCCACACTAAAAAAAAAAGATTCTCCAACAATTAATTAAAAAATTAAAAATTAATTGCAGCCATCTACAGCATTTATATTGAAGCACCCACTTTGTTACTAGAGTGAAAAAAGAGAATTGAAATAACATTCAAGGTTGTTTCAGATGGTTCAAAATGTCAAAATTTATCAGATTAAATAAAGACAAGTACACTTTTATAAAAGAGTAAATAAAACATCCAATGAGAATATTTTTACAATATTGCAGATATCAGTTCAGAATGTTAGTTGAAATCTTGCAAGATTAGACTTATTTGATATGAAAAGTTTTACTCTGCTGTATAATTTGTTAATTTTTAAAAAAAATAGAATAAAACAAAACAGTGTCAATAGGTTTGATATTTATAGAACAAGTATTTCCATTGAACCTATTAAGAAATCATAGGTTTATCCTCTACTCAGAAACAGATAAACTAGTGACGCTTATATACACCACACATGACAGGAACAATTTATGAAATTGACTTTGTGACAATCGCATTAAAAAAAAATATATTTTACAAAAAGGACTTAATTTTTGTTGAATCTTGAAAGCTGTAATGAATGTGTAACAATATTTTAATATATGATAACCTTTCCTAATTTATTTATTTGTTGAAAACTTATATTTCAGGCGACATTATCAGAAGGACCCCCTGTCAATAGATCTCGAGCCTGGTGTAGTATGTTAAACATTCCATTTTACAGATTTAGTCCAAGAATAAGTGAGGACTTTCCATTAGACTGCCATGACAACAAATCCATCATAACTATGATGTGGGAGACACAATGTTATATTGTAGCAAACAGAGAAAAGATTCAAAAATTGGGAATCTTACTTAAAAACATACATGATGCCAAACAAAAAAGTGTAAAGTAATTTGTTATTCTTACACAGTAGTCAACAAATTGGTATAACTTTTCATCTGTATCTACCTCTATTCCTAAACCACTCTTTATACATCAATATAACTTATCACTAATTTGAAGCCAAGTATTGTTCCTGCTGTTGTCATTGCCTTTATTATTGTATCAAAAACAGGAAAAGTCTTTTTGGTACAGAAGGTAGCATTAATCTATAAAACACCTTTATGAAACTAACTATATATGTGAACAAAGCTTCAACAGGAAGTGAACTTTTCGCTTCTATTTTATATTTTGATCACCACAACTTCTGTTCTCATTGTTGCCAATCTGAGACAAATGTATTGAATTTAGAGGATCATGCTTTACTAAATGTGGAACCTTTTAAAGTTTTTCATTGTTAAGGATGTTGTCACAGTAAAGGGATATCAATGATTGAATTCTTATTTATTATCTGCCACATTTGTAATCAAAATAGGCTGATTAAATCAAAATTCCTCGTGGAAAAATGTTATAAATTACCAGAGATCAAAGAAAAGTGCATGCTGTATTTTTCCAAGTTATAGTTAGATCAAAAAAAATTTTTTTAATTTAGTATATTTGTTTTCAATGAAGGGACATTCCTTTTGTGCAAATCATTCTTTTATTAAAAATGTCAAGAGAACTTTCATATCTACTCAGATTTGCCATCTTTTGCCATTCAGAACACCTAATATTTATTTTGAAGATTCCCAAACAGCAAAGGAATCAATTCAACTGTTGGAATTTAAATGTAAAGAGAACATTGACTTTCATATCTACTCAGATTTGCCATCTTTTGCCATTCAGAACACCTATGGTAATATTTATTTTGAAGATTCCCAAACAGCAAAGGAATTATTTCAACTGTTGGAATTTAAATTTTATGTAGTATGTAAACTGTTTTTAAGATGTTGATGCCACTGACATTCTTTAGTTCCTCTGTTATTTTTCTTAACTACACGGTAAATCATTCCCCTTTTGCATCGAAATGCTGTGTGAAAGTCGACTGATCTGACATGCAGTCAAGATAGAAAACAGAGAAACTGAAGGATGCCATTGGTAGAAAATTCTTAAAAACAATTTTTGATTAGTACATGATTAATTCTCACTGAAGTTGTGGTTTAAAAGTAAATCACTGTATAAGGATCCGGTAATCTACTAAAGGATTTGTATAACTATTAATGTGGTCTCAAACAATATTAAGTAGCTGCTGTAAAGAAAGGTAACTGCTGCTTAAAAGAATGATTTTCAAAAAGGAATAGCTGCAGTTAAAAAATTGATTTGATTAAATATTATTTCTTTAGATAACATTTGGAAAATGTGTCATGCAGTTTTGTGATTAGTTGCTTTTTATACCCCGACCTTTAAGTGGTCTTTGCATACTGTGTTATCCATGTCGTCCTTCCGTCCTTATGACTTACAGATCAGGTTGGTGCTTTGTTCTGGGGGATAACTGTTTTGGACATTACTGCCCTTAAGCGCAGAAAATTTCATTAAAATTGTTAGTGTTTGCACTTTTTATGACCACCGTAGTTGGAGGGGGCATTATGTGTTTCCCTTGTCTGTCAATCCATCCCGTCCGTCCTGTTTGTCGCGTACGTCCCATATATTGGTTTCCGTTCTCTAACTTTAATTTGCCTCATCCAAATGTTATGACACTTATACACAATGCTTATTGAATTTCTCAGATTTGCCATAAAAACCTAACTATAAATCAATCTTATTTTGAAATGCAAAAATTTATTAAATTTTTGGTACCGGATATTGAAATACAAGGTAAAAAAATACACACTGGAAAAATGAGAAAAAAACAGACAATACAATATTTCTTTTTTTTTTTAATTAAAGTATTGGTTTAAGTGGTTTATTTCACTCTTATTATTTGCAATTATTTCATACTTTTATTCCATACTGAGTTGTTTTATTTTGTAAGTAGATTTGTAGTTGTCAATGACAGTAAATTTTCTATTATGCACTTCATATTAATATTCTGTTGGACAAACATTTATAGAATAGAATCATGGATTTTAGAAATTGAAACTATTCTTATTTACATGCATAATATTAATCATCTCATAAATTGCCATATTTTGTAGTTTTTTAGTTAGTTTTTTAAGTATACTTGCACAATTATAAGATTAATTTGCAATATTAAGAAGTATTTTGTACTATATGGATTTTGATTGGTGCATCCATGAACTCAAAATATAAACTAAATCATCTTTGATGTCTGCAATCACAATTGATTTTCATGATTGTCATTTAACTAAATACTTTTTTTTTATTTATTATTATTATTGAATTTTAATAATCCCAGTCTAGAGATTTTGTAACTATAACATTTCTTAATTGGTATATAACTACCCTGTTTATTTTATGGTCTGTAATACCATGCTTGCCTCAAGGAATAAAACCACTAATTCATAGTCCCATTGCTTTATGCAACTGCAATTTCAAGCATTAATGGCTACTTTTTCTTAAGTTCAAGTGAAGTGGCAGTCATTTCATGTCAAAACTATACCTTATCCTGACTTGTGCTGAAAAATTCAACATACCTTTAATTGCATATTAGAGTGCACTGGTTCCCGGAAGTTTGGTAGTACGAAAACAAGTACTTCTGATCAGAACAACGGCAAATGTGACCTATCATGATTTCATATTTTTTTTTCATTATTCAAAAGAAACTTTCAGCAAGGGTTCTATAGTGATCCCAAGTCCTTAAGCTTTTATTTGATACCAAATTTACCCAAATATTTTACTTATTGACAAAGTTACAGCTATGCGTAGGAACTATTTAATTTAAGATATGCACTACTTTCATGTATGTTCTTTCTGCCTTGGCCTAAATTCTTTACCTCAAGAGTGTGGAAGTTTAAGATTCAGTTCCTAGACAGATTATTCAAATGACTTCAAAATTGACATTTTCTTATTCTTTGCATAGCAAACAGTATTTAGAAGTAAGAGCAAAATCAGAATTATTTGTCTAGATAGGATGACATGTTTCCATACAGAGATTGGATGACATATTCCCATACAGAGATAGGATGACATGTTCCCATACAGAGATAGGATGACATGATCCCATACAGACTTTTATCTAAAATCAGACTGAGCCCTTTGATCTGGTACAAAACAGGGTATATTTATTTGAAACTTAAATATTGTCATTGTGTTGAAAATCCATGTAATATTCATGGGAAATGAGTTCATAATAGGGAGAATATTGAACGTTGGACCTCTCAAGACGACACAGTGCTAATATATCTGTTTCAGAAAATCCATCAAATGGTTGCAATTGTTTACTTATAATAGGCAATTATAAAAAGTTTTTTGCTCCTATGTTCAACCATAAAAATTTCTTCATATATATTTAGATACCAATGTTGCATGATTTTAACACTTAGATCAAATACTGTAAATTCAGAAATTATTGCATGCATTTATTATTGCGATTTTTGAAAAATTAACAAAAATGCAAGTTTAACTATTGCGAATTTTGGAAAAGCTACATACAGATATATGTATTTGATATCAGAATGTGAGTTTTTATTGTTGCGATACTCAAGTAGTCGCGTTATTAGCATTAATAAAAACCTCGCAATAATTTCTGTATTTCAATATATCAAATATATTTGGTAAACTTGCATCTTTAAGTATTATGTATTTGCCAAAATATATTAACATAGCTACTTATGTGTTTTATTCTAATGACTTGTTAAATATATTTTAATTGTTGAATAGTGAATAAAATTAGTTTTTTACAGCTGCTGATTTTATCTTACATTTTATCAATCAGGTTTCTGATTAAGATGATTCTATGAGTCCTTTCCTCATGAAAATTAGACTGGACTCACCATTTTCTGGGCAGATTCATTGAGTTAAGTTTAGAAATCATTATAGAAAAAACTAGAATATGTGTCCATAAAACACCATGCCCTGCTCACACTTTCACACTTCTAAGTTCATTGAACTGCAAATTCTAGGTAAAAAATGTAATTTCGCATATAATTTTAAAAGTTCACAGTAGAATGAATATGTTTTAAATTAATGTGACCACAACTTCATTGAAGACAGCATTTTTTGTATCTTAACCAAAACCTTAAACCAAAGAATGGACTTATTTTGCACAACCACATCTCCATGAAATCATGGTCAAAAAGGTAATTTGGCATATAATTTTAAAAGTTCACATTATAATGAACATGTATAATAAGTTTCAAGTTGATGTGGTGAAAACTTGATGATAAACTTCTTTTACCAAAAACTTTGACCTGAAACAGCAGGGTCGAACTGACACACAGACCAGAAAACTTAATGCCCCCTACTTTTATAGGCTGGGCATAAAAATAGAGAGTAGTAATCTACCTAAATATAACAATGTTAATTCAAGCACGTATTATTGCAAGTTAAAGGCTTTGATTATGTTAATTTATTGTTTGGTCAAAACTGTTGACTCACCATGGCCAAAATTGAGGGGTCCCTCGATCAATATTTGAAACTACTAACTATATTTCTTCCATCAAAAATGTTTAAACTACTTATTAACATTGATTTGATGAACTTTTTAAAGGAGTTTGTTTAATCAGGGATAAAAAAGGCCATATATTTATGGTGTCATCCCTTTCTAGATGTTTTCTATAATTTGCAAATATGGAGCACATGCAAAAACCACCTGGAACATTTAACAAAGTGTCTCTGTACCAATTAACCTCACACATATTTAGGTAGTTCTTTCATTCACCTTATGTTTCATCACAAATACATGTGAAAAATTATTGTTGTTTTCATTTTAAGAATAAAATTAACTGACCAATTCCAATGATAAGATCCTTCTGTTGGTCTTAATATTGCAGCGACTATTCTATATAGTGTCAAATAATTCTTTAAATATTAAAAAAACAACGAACTGTTTAGTTAGTTTAATAGAAAAACAAAGGATATGGGGTATCCATCCATCACACAAAATCAGTATATGCACAGCAAAAAAACACAAAAAAAGCAATGGAACAGCGCTTTTATTGCTGTTCTTCATCTCAAAGTCACAGTGAGGCCTTCAACACGGAGCAAAAAAAAAAGTTTAAGACAGCCCCTAGCACCGGATTAAAACGGCCCCTAGCACCGGTTTTAGCGGAATTCTTTGCAAAAATAATTTGGATAGACTATGTAAGATGCAACACCACCTAATTGGGCCCAGTCAAAGAGGAACATACTGGAAAGTAGTACATATTTAAAACAAAATAGTTCCTACGCACAGGTGTAAATCTTAAACTATGTAGCATATATTTTAGTAGTTAAGGTATCAGATGAAAGGTGAAGGACTGGTGATCCTTGTAGAACACACAATTTAATGATAATTTTGAATAATACAAAAATGTATGAATGAATTCTAAAATTGAGGGCATATATAGCCTGTTTCTCAGATATGAAGTGCCCGGTTTGGTGTATTCAAAATCCTGGTAACTAGTGCAGTACGGTCTGATGTATAAATACAGGTATATTGATCTCGCTTCCATAAAATGTTTTGAAGTGAAAAATTTAACATGGATAGGAATGAGGAAAATAGTTTGTTCATTTGGGTTTAACAACAATTTCAGCTACCTTGGTTATATTAAAGCGGCCAGTTCTAAAACTGTTTGAGGAAGTAGGAGTCCCACAGAGAACCACAACCTTAAGCAGGAAAACTGGTGGAGGAAGCAGGAGTACCCACAGAGAACCACAACCTTCAGCAGGAAAACTGGCAATCCTTTGTCATTTAAGATCAGAGTAAAACACACCTTGCCACGAGCAGGGGTTTAACTCACAACCTCATAGTTGACAGACTAGTGATTACTTCAGATGAACTAATAAGACCAAATGACCACAGAGGCTACTCCCTCTTTAGGGTAACTGTTTAGACTACACAATTGTCTGTCAAACATTTTGGACTACACATTGTCTGCCAAGCATTTTAATGCAAAACCCAAGAATTTTATTTTTTTACCAAATAAGATCCATAATACTATTATTCATATATTCAGATTCAAGAATTTTCTAAATAAACTGCCGAAATTTACCCAAAGGTACTTAGTTTAAATAAATCTAATATAAACGGTAATAACAGTCCTTTCCTAGATTTAGATATTTCAGTTTTACACAGGAAACTCTACACTAAAATTTACGACAAAAGGGGCGATTTTTCATTCCCTATTGTTAATTTTCTCTTTTTTTGGTCTGTTATGTTTCTTTGGCACCATCTAAAGGTGTTTATATATCACAACTCGTTCGCTATGCTCGAGTTTGTTGTGACGTTTTGGATTTCAATGACGGTAATCTATGTATTACTGGTAAATTAATAAGTCAGGGATTTCTTTACCACAAATTACTTAAAACCTTTACTTAATTCTTCCATAGATACACAGATTTGGTTTGGAAGTTTGGTTGAACCTGTAGAAAACTTATTTCAAAAGGAATAGCGCATCCTAATTTTTGCTGAGATGTTGTTTACTGAGCCTGGAAATTTAGATACAATCGGAGTAAACTTATTGATCCTTTTAATAACCTTATTCTAAAAGGTTACCAATTCAACACTGTAATTAGATCTTTGAATATTGTTTTTATTGGTATTAATATTGATTTTGTTATCAGTAAATTAAAATCATACTACATATTATTTTTATATACATATGCACATTCATGGCTCTACAATCTGTCGATACCTGTATCTTGGCATTGCACAAGGTCATGTTTTTCTCTAACTGTTATTGCAGCTTTACACTAAATCCAGTGGATGTTGGATGTGAACTGATTGATATTTTAGTCTTAGATGCATGATTTTTTTATTAGTTATTGGCTTTGAACTAGCTGTCAGTAACTGTGAGTACTCTCAGATCTGTACTTTGTGTTTTTTTCTTGTGGGGATGTACAAGTACCATGCCACGTCTGGTCTGTGTTTTTGTCCATCTGATGAGTTGAGCCCTTTTCAACTGATATTTATAGTTTGTTCTTATGTTGTACTGTTACACCACTGTCCCAGGTAAGGGGAGGGTTGGCACCTTCAAACTAGTTTAACCCTGCCACATTCTGTATGTGCCTGTCCCAAGTCAGGAGCCTGTAATTCAGTGGTTGTCGCTTGTTGCTATATATCATATTTGTTTTTTACTCATTATTTTGTACATAAATCAGGCCGTTAGTTTTCTAGTTTGAATTGTTTTACATTTGTCATTTCAGGGCCTTTTATAGTTGACTATCCGGTATGGGTTTTGCTCATTGTTGAAGCCCGTACAGTGACCTATAAATGTTAATTTTTATGTCATTTGGTCTCTTGTGGAGAGTTGTCTCATTGGCAATCATACCACATCTTCTTATTTTTATATCAATGGCTATAAAAATCCTCCAGGTTTCAAAAGCTTTCAAGTATTGATCTTCAGAATTAAAACTGTAAGATCTTCTTTAAAACCCAATGAGGAGTCTGTGACAATGACAAAATATGGCTGCTAATGATTGCTAATTCATCTGGTCACCTGGGAACCTAAAACAATAATAATCTGGTAGTCAAATAATGCCACCGTTAAATTATGCTTGCTTCTAGATACTGGTTAGCTTCCTATGATAGTCATTTCTGCTCATTGAATAGTACCATCCAAAAAAACTGAAGGATAGGAAAAAAAGATTTTTAGATTTGTTTCTCTCAGCATTGAGTTTTATAAAATATTGCAATATTGTACAAGTAAAATACTTTTTAGGACTTTTACAAGGGTATATACTGTTAATACACTTTATTTAATAAAATTTAGTTGACAAACCATAATTAACAGCATCACATTTATAAAAAACATACACACACAAGCAAACACAACGAAAAACATGATTAATGAAACAAATATTAAAGTTACTTTAAAATTGATATTTGCTGCTTGTCCTCTAAGCAACCAGCATTAAGGAGTAAGAGCAAAGACGGGTCAGCTTGGAGTCAGAATAATGTGTCCAGTAGGATGACATGTCTTCCTGCGGACTGTTACCTTATGAAATAGCATGTTAAAAACCCAGCTCAGGGTGTCTTCCTACTACAAAGCAGGGTTAATATTCATATTACATTAACATATGTTCTCGTCCTGAATATGCATTTAATTTGCCTATAGAAGTTTAACAGCGATCCATCATCATCATTACAGACTGTTGTTAGCCAGCAAAGAGCATTGAATGATGGTACAAATAGTTCTTTTTCTTTATCATTCAATTGTCATAATTTTACTCACCAACAGTATCTTTATTACTCCTATGTATTGAAAGTCAGAAGGTCAGTAAGAATATTTCCTATTATACTGTACAGCAATGATCTAAAATGCTTTACCAGTTGATCAGTTTGTAGAGATGAATTTAAACTGCAATTTGGTAAAACATTTTAGCAATTGGTATTGCAATAGGATAAGGCCCATTGAATATGCACAGTAATACAATGTATATTTTGTCTAGACTTTCATTACATGTGGAACATTTTAGTGTTTTTTTATTTTGTTTTTAAGTAGATCACTTGCTAGTGATTACTTTATTCCCAACATTACAATAGATACAGAAGTAGTTGCTTGCAGCACCATTATGATAAAAATTTATGGTTAGTACTGGCCTGATTAGACATGCAACCTTGAGACCTAATGGAGCTCTCTAAGGGACTAAGCTAAAGAAGATCATGCTTAATTCAACCAAGTAAGGCTCCCTTTATACCTTCAAGTATACAACACTTGGAGACACTGAAGGTTCATTTAAATCAACAGTTGAACTAAATATGTCTTTATGAATATGCAAAGAACTGGTATATATTTAACAATTCATTTAACATTTCTGATTTGTGCAAAATCACAATAGAAATAGTTCAGCTGCACATTCTTGGTTACATTGTGATTGTCACATCAAGAGAGAATAACTCTAACTGTTTTTATTTAGAGTTATCTCCCATAGAAAATGGCAGCCTCCATGAACAGAATTTGTTAAGGGTAAAAATATGATTTTAAGCAATTTATAGGCGTATTTCAGGAGTGCTACACACTAAAACTTGAGGGAAACGACGAAAGTTTTTCGATAATTTGAATTGTACACATTACTCTCAGATGACAATGTTTAGAATTGGTGTAAATTGACGTTTTTCGGCCTTCTTTTACTGTAAAGTGTTATTATGTACCTGCACTACATGTCCTCTATGTGAATTTTTTACTGTGACATCCTTGTATAAATCAAGAAATATATTCTTAAATGATAGTTTCCAAAGGTTTCATAATTTGTCTAATCTAATTAAAACCCCCAAAATTTCTATATTTGTATGATGACGAATGAAGATTTAAAGATTTCAATATTATTCATCCTGTTTGTCATTTATTTTAGTACAGAGACTATTGTACTATTTAAAAGAACAATGTTTTCATTAACCTGGAAAGACAAACAATATTGAGGATTAAGATTTTTTTTGTCTGGTTTGATACACTAACTGAACAAGTTTTTGTAGTGATACTTTAATCCCTTTTGGGATTCTGTGTGTGGAGCAATTTTCTGATTGGCCTCTGAGGACGGCAAAATAAAAAATTGCTCCAGACACAGAATCCCAAAAGGGATTAGTGATACTTATGTTGATGAGTCCTTGCATCATTATAAAATATAAAAAGTGGTATGATTGCAAATGAGACAATTCTCCACCAGAGACCAAATGACATAGAAGTTAACAACTATAGGTCACCATATGGTCTCCAACAATGAGTAAAACCCATACTGCATAGCAAGCTATAAAAGGCCCTGAAATGACAAATATGAAACAATTAAAACGAGAAAATTAAAGGCCTGATTTATGTACAAAAAAATAAATGAAAAACAAATATGATATACAGCAACAAATGACAACCACTGAATTACAGGCTCCTGACTTAGGACAGGCACATACAAAATGAGGAGGGGTTAATCATGATTGCGGGCGAAGAACATTTAAAAAGAAAATCATGTATCTAAGACTAATTGAACAATTACTTCCAATGGGATTAGTGTGAAGACCTCGTTAACAGTCAGAGAAAAACATGATCTTGTGCAATGCCAAAATATAGGTATAGACAGAATGTCAAGCACAATATTGTGACCAACATATCAAAGTGATAAAAAGAAAAATCTGGGCAAACTCTTTTTAATTTACTTGCCCTTTTAATTGTATAAGGCTGAAAAGTGTTCACATACTTGCTTATGTATATATGCTAGATACTTTAGATAAATTGATGCATCTTTAGCTACTGTCCAGCATATCACTGTGTCCTGCATAAAACATTGTCCGTAACATCATTGTGTCAATCACAATACTTTGTCCAGCATAAAATGTTGTCCATAACATCATTGTGTCAATCACAATACTTTGTCCAGTATATCAATGTGTCCAGCATAAAACATTGTCCATAACATCATTGTGTCCAGCATAATACTTTGTCCAGTACATCACTGTGTCCAGCATAAAACATTGTCCATAAATTCATTGTGTCAATCACAATACTTTGTCCAGTACATCACTGTGTCAAGAACAATACTTTGTCCAGTACATCACTGTGTCAAGCACAATACATTTTCCAGTACATCACTGTGTCAAGCACAATACTTTATCCAGTACATCATTGTGTCCAGCACAATACTTTGTCCAGTACATCCTGGTGCCAAGCACAATACTTTATTCAGTACATCACTGTGTCCAGCATAAAACATGGTCCATAACATCCTTGTGTCAAGCACAATACTTTGTCCAGTACATCACTGTGTCCAGCATAAAACGTTGTCCATAACATCATTGTGTCAAGCACAATACTTTGTCCAGTACATCACTGTGTCAAGCATAAAACGTTGTCCATAACATCATTGTGTCCAGCACAATACTTTGTCCAGTACATCACTGTGTCCAGCATAAAACGTTGTCCATAACATCATTGTGTCAAGCACAATATTTCGTCCAGTTCATCCCTGTGTCAAGCACAATACTTTGAGCAGCACATCACTTTGTCAAGCACAATACTTTGTCCAGTGCATCACTGTGTCAAGCACAATACTTTGTCTAGTACATCATTGTGTCAAGCACAATACTTTATCCAGTACATCATGGTGTCAAGCACAATACTTTGTTCAGTACATCACTGTGTCAAGCACAATACTTTGGACATAACATCATTGTGTCCAGCACAATACTTTGTCCAGTACATCGCTGTGTCAAGCATAAAACATTGTCCATACCATCATTGTGTCAAGCTCAATACTTTGTCCAGTACATCACTGTGTCAAGCATAAAACGTTGTCCATAACATCATTGTGTCCAGCACAATACTTTGTTCAGTACATCACTGTGTCAAGCACAATACTTTGTCCATAACATCATTGTGTCCAGCACAATACTTTGTCCAGTACATCACTGTGTCCAGCATAAAACATTGTCCATAACATCATTGTGTCAAGTACAATACTTTGTTCAGTACATCACTGTGTCCAGCATAAAACATCATCCATAACATCATTGTGTCAAGCACAATATTTTGTCCAGTACATCACTGTGTCAAGCACAATACTTTGTCTAGTACATCATTGTGTCCAGCACAATACTTTATCCAGTACATCATGGTGTCAAGCACAATACTTGTTCAGTACATCATTGTGTCAAGCACAATACATTGTCCATAACATCATTGTGTCCAGCACAATACTTTGTCCAGTAAATCACTGTGTCCAGCATAAAACATTGTCCATAACATCATTGTGTCAATCACAATACTTTGTCCAGTACATCACTGTGTCAAGAACAATACTTTGTCCAGTACATCACTGTGTCAAGCACAATACATTTTCCAGTACATCACTGTGTCAAGCACAATACTTTATCCAGTACATCATTGTGTCCAGCACAATACTTTGTCCAGTACATCCTGGTGCCAAGCACAATACTTTATTCAGTACATCACTGTGTCCAGCATAAAACATGGTCCATAACATCCTTGTGTCAAGCACAATACTTTGTCCAGTACATCACTGTGTCCAGCATAAAACGTTGTCCATAGCATCATTGTGTCAAGCACAATACTTTGTCCAGTACATCACTGTGTCAAGCATAAAACGTTGTCCATAACATCATTGTGTCCAGCACAATACTTTGTCCAGTACATCACTGTGTCCAGCATAAAACGTTGTCCATAACATCATTGTGTCAAGCACAATATTTCGTCCAGTTCATCCCTGTGTCAAGCACAATACTTTGAGCAGCACATCACTTTGTCAAGCACAATACTTTGTCCAGTGCATCACTGTGTCAAGCACAATACTTTGTCTAGTACATCATTGTGTCAAGCACAATACTTTATCCAGTACATCATGGTGTCAAGCACAATACTTTGTTCAGTACATCACTGTGTCAAGCACAATACTTTGGACATAACATCATTGTGTCCAGCACAATACTTTGTCCAGTACATCGCTGTGTCAAGCATAAAACATTGTCCATACCATCATTGTGTCAAGCTCAATACTTTGTCCAGTACATCACTGTGTCAAGCATAAAACGTTGTCCATAACATCATTGTGTCCAGCACAATACTTTGTTCAGTACATCACTGTGTCAAGCACAATACTTTGTCCATAACATCATTGTGTCCAGCACAATACTTTGTCCAGTACATCACTGTGTCCAGCATAAAACATTGTCCATAACATCATTGTGTCAAGTACAATACTTTGTTCAGTACATCACTGTGTCCAGCATAAAACATCATCCATAACATCATTGTGTCAAGCACAATATTTTGTCCAGTACATCACTGTGTCAAGCACAATACTTTGTCTAGTACATCATTGTGTCCAGCACAATACTTTATCCAGTACATCATGGTGTCAAGGACAATACTTGTTCAGTACATCATTGTGTCAAGCACAATACATTGTCCATAACATCATTGTGTCCAGCACAATACTTTGTCCAGTACATCACTGTGTCCAGCATAAAACATTGTCCATAACATCATTGTGTCAAGCACAATTCTTTGTCCAGTACATCACTGTGTCAAGCATAAAAGGTTGTCCATAACATCATTGTGTCCAGCACAATACTTTGTTCAGTACATCACTGTGTCAAGCACAATACTTTGTCCATAACATCATTGTGTCAAGCACAATACTTTGTCCAGTACATCACTGTGTCCAGGATAAAACATTGTCCATAACATCATTGTGTCAAGCACAATACTTTGTCCAGTACATCACTGTGTCCAGCATAAAACATCGTCCATAACATCATTGTGTCAAGCACAATATTTTGTCCAGTACATCACTGTGTCAAGCACAATACTTTGTCCAGTACATCACTGTATCAAGCACAATACATTGTCCAGTACATCACTGTGTCCAGCACAATACTTTGTCCAGTACATCACTGTGTCAAGCTCAATACTTTGTCCAGTACATTACTGTGTTAAGAACAATACTTTGTCCAGTTCATCCCTGTGTCAAGCACAATACTTTGTCAAGTTCATCCCTGTGTCAAGCAGAATACTTTGTCCAGTACATCACTGTGTCCAGCACAATACATTGTCCAGTACATCACGGTGTCAAGCACAATACTTTGTCCAGTACATTACTGTGTTAAGAACAATACTTTGTCCAGTTCATCCCTGTGTCAAGCACAATACTTTGTCCAGTTCATCCCTGTGTCAAGCACAATACTTTGTCCAGAACATCACTGTGTCCAGCACTATTCATCGTCCAGTTCATCCCTGTGTCAAGCACAATACGTTGAGCAGTACATCACTTTGTCAAGCACAATACTTTGTCCAGTTCATCCCTGTGTCAAGCACAATACTTTGTCCAGTACATCACTGTGTCGAGCACAATACTTTGTCCAGTAAATCACTGTGTCAAGAACAATACTTTGTCCAGTACATCACTGTGTCAAGCAACTCACAATTTATATTTTGATAACATTATTTCTTTGCACTATTTCCTTTTGTTATAAACAATCTCACATTTTTACCTGTTGTCCAACAATTGCAATCATGAATTGATGCAAAATTTCTTAATTTACTATAGTCTGTGCAGCTGCTTGAGGTCTTTTTTTTTATAGAAATTTAGTAACATATATGATTTATTCTTCCAGAGTAAGTTATAATGGAAATTGCTTCAGACAAAGTTTTGCCATATTTAACACAAGTAGAACAGGTTGCAGAAGAAATTTTGGCTGACAAACATCAGATGGTTGATTTGGATAGGAGACGACAAAAAACAAGGGAGGCTCTTAGGTATTTTACACAAAAACTTTATGACATTTTCACTGGTTATATTATAACTAGTTTCACAGTATGAATCCTGAAAACGTAAAAATGTTTCCATAATCATTATAATCACTTTTCCTGTTTACTTATAAGTGATTTGTCAAATATTTTTGGCACAAGCCTACTTTGTTTAGTTTTTTTGTCCAGCGTACAATAGTATGGGGGAATATGTTTTCTGGTTTGTTCATCTGTCTGCTCGTCCATCTGCTGGTCCATCATGTATCAGGTAAAAGTTTTTGGTAAAGGTAGTTAACCATGAAATTGTCACATCAAATTGAAAGTAAATGAACTTGTTCTGTATAATTTTTTTTAAATATAGGCCAAATTAAGGTATTGACCTAGACTTCAGGGTTCACTGATCATGGAAATGTGATAATGCAAATTGGGCATGTTGTCCTATGGACACATATTCTTGTTTATTATTGTAAAAAGGTAAGTGAGCCAACTTAGTCATGTTTATATGATAATTTGAGTAAAAATGACTGAAATTCAATTATTTTGAAGGTCACAAATATGAATATCTTGGATGATTTCTTTGATTTGAATCAATTTTCACCAAATCAATTTAAAAAGTTGTTTTGAGAAAAATAGATTTTGAGATCTAAATAATGATTCAATTACCGTACTGATAAGTCTAATAGTTTATTACATCCAGGTCATTTGGTCTCAAATGGATAGTTGTCTCATTTGCACTCATACCACATCTCCTTTTTGATACTACAAATGTAATTTCATATTGTTTTTTGGAGAATGTGATGTTGTTATAAACCGATTTTGAAAGTTTTTGTTTATTTAACAGCTTTGGCGCTTTAGAGCTTGACATATTCTATAGACACCAACTGTCTAATGTTGTTGACCTGTAGATGTCTAAGACAATGTGTGTTTATGGGTTGCTGCCTCATTCATGTATACCACACACATCCTTGTATTCATATTACATTGTATGGAGAGTACCTTTTATTTTTTTACTTTTGCAGGGTTCTACAGAAAGACAAAACCACCGAAAAGAATTGGGTTTGTTTTGGGAACCAGTTTATAAAGCTTCCAAAGAAAGATACAAAGAAGCTTTTAGATCAAGGTTTGTAAATATAGTTTGCTTCCTTGATGTTGATGCACATTTCCCACATTTTCTCTGAATTGAACATTTTTGAAAACATTTTAAGTAAAACATGTTACTTAATTTAGTGTTTATGGGTCAGAATAAATAACCAGGCCATTATTACTGTCTTTGTGACAAAAATAACCAAATTTCAAATCTTCAAATCACTATGAGAGTTGAAACAAACAGTCATTAAGTTATTTCAAATGTTTTGTTATATATAAATCTTTTTTTATATGCATTACAGGAAAGCCATTGAAATATTTATTTAATACTTTATTATACTAGTAGTCTGGGTGAATTTATTGATATTGCTTTTAAAAATATGATTTATTAATCATAATTAATATTAAGTTTTTAAATGGTAAATACATTTTGCAGAATCATTACAAATCAAGTGATGCTTAATGCCTTCAGGATTTTATTGTCAAGAATTTCACTGAAATTTTTTTGTAAAATAGAAAGGAGTAGGGGCAATAAAGCCCTTAATTGGCCCAAATATTAGTGTAAATTGAAAAGTTTTCATACATATTCCTAAACCTCCCCCAACTACACTGAGGTACAAGGTGTTCAGAAAATAAAAAATTTCAAATTTAAGAGTTGCCATGGCAACAAACCATGACAAAATTTATATATTATGTAAAATTTCTTTATTTTCCTTGTTTTACGTCAACTTTAAGTATATATTAGATCGGAAAAGTATGTGCGTACCCAAGAAACAACTTTATATTTGGTAAGATTATGTCAATAGTTATTATAAAGCTTCTTTAAAATTATTTTGTTGTTTCTTGCCTGAGCACGATGTTTCCATAAAGAAAATAATGATGGAAAACTGCATAAACTCTGCATTTTTCTTTGTTTTTGTGAAAATGGTGCATATTATGACCTTATTGTGACGTCATAACATCAAAAACCTTATGCAATTTGATTTTACGCATTTCCAAACATTATGTGCAAATTTGAAACAGATCCCAACAAGAATGTGTCCATAATACACAGATGCCCCACTTGCACTATCATTTTCTATGTTCAGTGGACCATGAAATTGGGGTCAAATCTCTAATTTACCATTAAAATTCGAAAGATCATATCATAGGGAACATGTGTACTTAGTTTTAAGTTGATTGGACTTCAACTTCATCAAAAACTACCTTGACCAAAAACTTTAACCTGAAGCGGGACAGAAGGACGGACAACTGGACGGACGAACGAATGGACGCACAGACCAGAAAACATAATGCCCCTACTGCTATCGTAAGTGGGGCATAAAATTCTGTTTTCTTGGGCCAAAACCAGGCCTTAATGCCCTACTCCTTTGGAAGCAATGCAAATTCCTAAGCCAGACAAGAGACAGGGATTTTTTTGTACGTCAATACACAATAGGACTGATCTATCCCTGTTTGTATCGAAGATAGTAAATCCAACAATGAAAACAGAATTACAAAGCATTACATTAATGTTTTGTAGTTGTCTTTACAATGAAGATAATTTAGCTTGGTTGATAAACCAATTTTAGATATGGCATGGAAGATCTCCCTATAGTAACTTGTCTTTACAGGAGAATCACAAGATGACATTTTCAGTTGTTATTTATTATTACAACCTTCATATTGATTATTATGGAACTATAATATAATGAAAAAGAGGTGTAATTAGTTAAAAGACAAATGAGTTAAAACAACATGCCTTATGAGTTCATTGGGGACCAAGATATGTTGATAAGTGAAGAAAATTCAACCTCCTTTAAAGAAAAGATATCTTGTATAGTGATATTAATACATTGCAAATGGGAGAGTCTACCATCTTACCGGTAAGTTAAAAGAAGTGCAACACTTTATTAGTCCCCAACCGTCTGTCTGTCTGTCTGTCTGTCCATCTGTCTGTCCATCTGTCAGCACGGCAAATCAGTTTTCCAGACTTTTTTTCTTCATGCTTGAAGATATTGATTTAATATTTGGTTTATTGATTTATCATGACAAGTTACAGGTCAAGTTCAATTTTGATGATTTTAGCTTTTCTCTTTGTTCAGTTAAAGCCCTTAAAAAATACTTATTAATTAGTAGATTTCTGTTCAAAGGGAAATAACTCATTTTTTAAAAGGATTTAAAAAACAAAATGACATTTTGGATTTTTTTCCTTTTCTTTGGTAAATTGTTTTTAGAATTTAGTGGTAGGTTTGTTTGTCATTCTTGAAGATATTGATTTGATAATTAGTACATATAGTATAGTTTAATCATGACAAGTTACAGATCAAGTTGGAATTTTGTTCCAGTCTGATAATTTTGTGCAGAGTTTTGGTCTTTGGGCATAGAATATTCGGGGCCTCGGTGGCCGAGTGGTCCAAGTAGTTACTACTGTAATTACTAGCCAGTCAGCACTGAGGTTGTGAGTTCGAACCCCGCTCAAGCGGATGCACTCAACTCCAATCGTAATTGACTAGGATTGTCAGTTTACCTATCGAAGGTCTGTGGTTTTCTCCGGGCACTCCGGCTTCCTCCACCAATAAAAACTGGCTGCCACGAAATAGCCCAAAAGCGGTGCTTAAAAGTGGCGTTAAAACATCATAGAAAATTCACTTAAATAATCAGTTTTCAACAGTTTTTTTCGTCATGCTTGAAGATTTTGACTTGATACTTTTATGTAGTTTACACCATGACAAGTTATAGATCAAGTTAAAATTTCGTTCCATTGCAATGAATTTGTAACCGGTAGGGGACTATGTATTGCCATGCAATACTCACAGAATGCTTGTTAATGGTATGGTATCCAGTTTTGATTGAATTGATGTCTTGTTTAATATATAAATCAAACCATCAGTTTATCCTGGAATGACTGTCTTTATAATAATGTATGCTGCACAGGTTATTTTTTGTCTCGCATAAGACAAATTGCAGAATAAGTGACATTGGGATGCTAATGCAGCGGCAGTTGTTGCGTCTGTGGCCTTGTCAAGTATTTTTTATAAAGCTTTGTATTTTAGAAGGTAGAAGACCTGGATGCTTCATACTTTATATATAGATGCCTAATGTTCTGCATAGTTTTTTAGTCAGACATATTTCTCACTATGATTAATAAAATATTTATATTTGGTGTGTGGAATCCTTGCAAGCACAACATGTCCATAAGACAAGGTTCACTTGAACTTGATTTCATTTCATGGATCAGTGATCAAGGTTAAGTTTTCAAGGTCAAGTCTTTATCTCAGATACTATAGGCAAAAAGTCAACTATATGCATGATTGTTAAGTATACATGTCTGTCTGGTAGGGTTGTGTCTTACCTTGACTTTATTTTCTTGTTTAAGGTAGCTGGGGTGTCTTCCTCCATCTTGGATTTTGAAATAGCAGATAACGATCGTTAATATAGAAAATTATGTGTTTTATCATATTTTTCGGCTGTATTTTACAAAATACAGAATATTTTTGTTTGATTCATTTTGTTTTCAACTTTGCCACATAAGGGGGAGATAACTCAGATAAAGTAACTTTTATAATAGAATGTGTTTTGAATTTACCTATTTTATTATGTAGCAAAAAAAGGAGTCCCGTGAGCCCATTTTTGCGATTTCTTATCTGAAAGCATATCATTAAAGCTATAAACAGGCTATTATTTGAACTTGGAATTATTTTTAATTATGGAATTTGCACTATTTCTTGTGCTTGAAATTTTTAATGAATTCCATGCTTATTCTGTATTATAATGTTCTGGACCATATCTAATGTTAGAGTACTATGTTAAACCATATTTCTGTACAAAGGGAGATAACTCATTTTTAAAAAGACATTCTTTGTTAAATTATTTGAAGAATATTTTGGCAGCTTTGTTTGTTATTTAGTATAAACTAATTTTCTGAATGCTATATATATATAAAAAAAAATTATGAAGAGAAATCCTTTAATTAGATAATAATCTATTTTTATTAATGAATATATTTCAATACATTACATTGTGTAGATAAAAGTTGTTGACATTTTATAGATAAGTTACAAATCTATATTAGTTTGTGACAAATGAAAGAAAAAATATTTGGAACTATTAATTATATTTGATTATAATTTGAAAATAGATATACACTGTATTACATCATACCTAATTTTAGAGAACTATTAATCATATCTGATGTTTTTTTCATAATGCTTATAATATATTGTATTGATAATTGGTATATATATAGTTTTATCATGACAAGTTACAGATCAAGTTCAAATTTTTGTTTCGGTCTAATAATTTTGTGCAGAGTTATGGTCCTTGGACTTGAAAAATTCATGTATATAATCAGTTTTCCTCACTGTTTTTAGTCATGCTTGAAGATATTGACATGATATTTACTTTTTGTTTACACCATGACAAGTTATAGAACAAGTTAGCATTTTGTTCCATAATAATGAATTTAAATCCGGTAGGGGACTATGTATTGCCATGCAATACTCTCAGAATGCTTGTTATTTTTCAATTTTACAACACTAATATTTAGTCATCAGCTTGACAGTAATTAATTTTAATGTGTGAGCATTTTGGGATCTGTCAAGACACCTACTTCCTGTTTGTGTATACTTTGAATTTTTCAATATGTTGAATGAGGTTAGAATTTTTTGTCACACTTTTCTCAAGTACTTATTGAACAGAATAACATATTTGGTCTGCAGCTTGACAGTGATGAATTGTAATGTGTGAGTCAGTGTGAGCACTTTTGGGATCTGTTAGTCAATTCTTCCTGTTTTCTGATTCTTTGAATTATTAGTGGGGGTATGCTCAGCCAGACAAACATGCATTCTTGTTACACATGTGTTGTTATATATTAATGCTATTGTACTCTATATTTTCATTGTATGATAACTAGTACATTGTTGTTCACAAACAATGGGAAACTTAGCATTTGCATCCAAAGGTAGCTTTCACAAAGTAATTCTAAGCTATTGATAGACTAAAACTGGGGAAAATTTGGGTTTCCTGATATTATCTCTCAAACCATATGTCCAA